ATTAAAACCAACAAATAACGTTCGTGTGGTCGGTGCTAGGCTCACCCACAGCTGGTGGGGTGGTTGGTGATTGCTGGACACTCGGTGGTTGGTTGGAGGTCGGCGGTTGCTGGTCCGTTGGTTAGTGGCTTAGCATAAAGCTGGAAAAATGACCAGCTCCCTGGATGGACTGGCCGCCAACAATGGACCTGACTCAGCTGTCGCTGGTGGAAAAATGGCTGGAAAATAGCCAAAAGTTGTAAAGTCCTTATGAGTTTTACTAGAATATTTAGAAAAAAATAATAAGTATAATAAATTACAGTATTTTGTAAGAAACTTTGCTATTAAATCCTTTTATCTCAAGATTTTTATTGCAAAGTTAGCTTGATGTCAAAGCTTTTTTTGAGTGGGTTCTCTAAAAGTCTGCCTAATTTTCTCATAAAATATTCAACGCGCAAAGAACTGCCAAAGATATAACACATCCTTATATAGCTTACGGTCCTATTTAATCCAGAGTGACTTGAACTGCAATTAGCTGCCCGGAGCTACGAGTCAATTCCATTATTTCTTTAAAACTTCCTTCAATATTTACTACTCGTACCTTTGAAACTTATTTTTTAGAGCTCCAGATTTTGTTTGCGAAGTTTTGCTGGATGTCAAAGATTTGTGCAAAGTTTATGGACAACTTTGCTGCTTGAATTATTCAAAAGGCAGCTCTGCACTCAGGTTCCAAGTCGAAAATAGTGCAAAGTGAGAGTGAAATTCAGTTGTTTGGGACTAATGAAAGTTGTCGTTCCATTTGGCCATGGATGGGATTTTTTTTCACCATTTCAGCAGTGGGTTGTCGGTTGTTACTCGCTGTCCAGTTTCCGGCAGAGTTCAGCTCTGATGTGGCTGCTGCTGCTGCTGCTGGCTCAGCAGCAAACAAATGGAGCTCGGGGCTTCTCTGGGAACGGGCTAGGGTTATACTGATTGTTTAGGACAGGACCTCGGCACACACAGCAAACAACAGGCATCTGCATATAAACGGGGCAACTCGGGACCAGGGCAAAACTTTAACAAGCACTTAAGTATTAATCATGGAAATCAGAGGCAGCTGCCACCCACTTTTCTGTGGCAGGCTGTGTGGTTAGTGTGTGCGGGCCAAAAGTTTGCCACGTTGGCTATCAATGTCACAGAAACGGAGCGCCTAATGAGGCATTAAACTTAACTGCTCAACTTTGCGCCTGTCAAGCGCTTATTAAATTTACCGTTTTATTGGTCCAACAACTTGGTGTTAAATATGGACCTCATGCCCCCAAGCCTCTCTCCCGCCCCCTCTTCAGTGGTCAGTGGGCGTGGCCGGAAGTAAGGGGATGCCTGCTTTAAGTGAAATCAGATTACGTTGTTTATCGTTCAGCGCCGACTTGGTTTTTAGCTAACCAGGCGTGAGTCCTTCTCTGGATTTCCTCCATTTCCCCAGGAAAAATTGCCTCGTCCTTCCGCCCATCTGCCGCATTTAAATAGTTGCCAAGTTCAGCAAATTTTATTCGATGTAGTTAATTTTGTTTCTCGGCAAAAGGGAAATTGTATTACCCATTTATTTAGTCAAATTCCGCTGCGGCTGCTGAAGCGGCTGAGGCTTCGGTAGGCGTGGTTGTCTATCGGGGTGTTTCTAACTCGCATTAATGGGTAGTTGGAAGTTCTGTCGTAATTGGATTGCAAACTTCTGCCAAAACGAGCAAATACAATAAATTGCGGACAGACAGAGAGTACGGAATGGAATTCGTTTCTGGTTGGAGTAAGTCTTAAAGGGGTCAGTGAATCGTACTAACAGAATATCATAGTATTTTGCTGGAAAATGCTAAAAAATTAAGCTTTTTATTAGCATATACAATGATTTTATTGATTCTGGGAAACATTTTCTAAGATGAATTCGACCCTTGATGAATTATTAACGAAGAAAGCTTTTAAAGATTTATCTGAATTGTAGGCCTCTTTTAAAAGAAACTTCTCACCATTCGATTCGTTTAAGGAATTCCAAAATCCTTTGGCCCCAAAACATTCAGAGAAAACCCAAAACGAATAGGTTTACTTATCCCCCTTTCGATACAGTTCGAAATTGAATGAAATCGGTTCCCATGTTTACTGCGGGATCAAAAGACCATCTCAAGGATGCTCGACAGGGTATTTCCATTTCCCAATCGCAAATCGCAAATCAAGGCGCACTAAATTTGATATCCTACCCCCGAAAATGATTCGTTCGAATCCAACACGTCGAAATTATTGAATTGATGTTTCCCGATAAGCCCAAACTCGATTACCACCTGTCAATCCCCATCACAGGCCCCAAAATCCCCTCCCCGTCACCGACGCCCGCCAATCTACCCAATCATTCTCATATTCTTGTTTACACAGCTAACTGAGTTTTCGGGGGATTCCCCTGCTGCACGAAGTGCTCCCAAGTATTATGAAATATTTATGCACACGCCATTGCGGATATTCACTCAAAAGTGGTGAGTGCTGAGTGCCGAGTCCTGAGTGTGTAGAGTGTGTGACGGAAAGCTCTCGAATAGTGCAGTTTGCTGGAAAAGCGGAAAAACAAGCGAGAGATGCCATGTGGCATCCACAAAGAGAGCGCGATATCCATCGGAAAAGAGAGAAGCTGCTGCTGCTCAGTTGAGTTTTGCGGTCGATGTCAGTAGCAATGTCTGTGGCGGAAATGAAACGTGCTGCTGTCTAAGTGTGTGTATTTTCTGTGGGTGTGGGGGCTTAGATGTGTGGGTGGGGGTTGGGGTTTAGGTGCGTGCGTGTGTGTGTGTGGGTCTGCTACGTGCCCGTGTTTGTGGCATTGAGTAATCATCAGCGTTGAAAATTGCGTTTTTTATGGGGCCAGTGGCAGTGCGAGTGGATTGGGGATGAATGGTGCTAGGGGATGAACCTGATGGGGTAGTTTAAGGGGGGGCGAGGGTGGTGTTAAAGGGGACTCAAGGTGTCCGGGGCAGTGGGCAAAAGTGCTGGCGGTGCGCTAGCTGTACTTAGCATATATGTAAATCTACACTCGCATAAAGATGGCAAACATTAACTTGGGCTTTTCTCCAGCTTAGTGTTTAGACATAAATACTCTTAAAAAAAAAATGAGTTAACCTTCTTGAAGTATTCAGTCCAGGATTTGCTTTAAATTAGATGCTTAAATTTTTTTAAAAATTTTACAAGAGTTACAAAGCTTTTTTTTAAATTTCTTACTTTAAATTACGACTCAACCGAGATGGGATTATAACTGCATGTATTGCATTTTTAAATTTGGTTGCGATATGGTTTAGTGGTAGCTCAAATGAGTTATTAAATATATTACAAGAGTCTTTCCCATTTATGATTAAAATATTTTAAGAGTTCTTCCAGTTGTTGTTGAATTTGTATGATTTTTTTAAGTTTGTAGGTTGAATAGACATTTGCTTTGAACTTTTATGAGATAATTTAGAACAGCTTACACAAAAACGGGACATACAGAAATATTTTCCAACCAAGTTTCTTTTCAAATGTAAAATGCCTTTCTCACAAAATACCCATAAAGCATTTATAAAATTATCATCACATTTTTAAGTCGTTTTGTTTATGTTCCTGATTTGAAAAAAACCAATCTTAAATTGACATCTTGCAATCTGGATTCCACTTCATAATGCTTATATAAGTACTTCTTCAAATATGATTCGTTCTGCATTTTTAAGCCTCAATCTTGATATTGTTTCGATCAGTGTAAATTTGTATACCGAGCATGTGCTCGTCCCTTTTCCCTGTGCGTGCGTTCCTGCTGTGCGTCTGTGTGCGTGCGAGTGGCACAAGTGTCACGGCATGGCATCGCAGTAAAATCCTTTTTTATGGCCTAGCCCAATGCCTCAGCTTCAGCACCAGCTTCGGGTCCTGGCCTGCTCCTCTGCTCCTGCTGCTCCTTTTTCTGGCATTCCTTCGACGGGATATTATTGTGCACCGCCCTTAGGGGAAGGACGAAGCGAAGGGCAAGGGCAGGAAAAATTAATTTCGCAACATATTCAAAGTGTTATTAAACATAATTTATTAAAACCGAAATTGTATAAAGTCAGGCCGAGCTGTATGAATGCGGGCGTGCGGGGGAGTGAGTTGCCATAAATTGTTGAGATTTTTGTCGTGGCTCGGTTATCCCTGGTTATCCATGGGGTCACGGGGTCATGTGCGTGCCCTCGTTTGTGGCTGTCGCCGCTTTTAACGGCTTTTCGGAAATGGGCGTTTCATCCTCGATGCCATGTGTTTTTTATCCAGCTTCCAGCTCGTTTCTGCCGTTCTTTTTTTTTCGCCCCAAACTGTGGCTGAGCAACAAATGTCGCACAGTTAATGTTGTAAACAAGTTGTGCTGTGCGGTCGGCAGTCCCCATCCCTCTCCTCTGGTTTGGGGCGTTATGATGTATGTGGCAGGCGTGGCAAATCGGAAATTTAATTTCCCAACCAAACGAGCCTGGCCGGAGCTCATAACGGCCAGCTTAATTGCCGGCCATAATTTAGGCTAACCCTAAACCGAAGCCTGCACTTGGAGGAGCGACGAGAGGGTTTCTAATATCTAGCATGTGTTTAAATCAAAATTATTTCCCTTTCAACCCATTTATTTCCGGGACCGAAATGAGCGGACATTCCTTATTCCTTAGTGCAATTTTCATGCAAAAATAGCTTGAATTTCCCCAGCTTCTTTTTATGGTTAAATAAATTATGCTGATATGGGGCAGCTCAATAGGTTCTTTGAAGTCTCAATAAAAACTACTGAAAGACAATTTTTGGACGAGTTCTTGGAATTTATTTTGGGGCGTAACTTCAGAAAATTTTTTTCCATATAGAAAATATTTATTACTGTAGTTTAATTTATGGGCAAAACATTTTTCCGAAAAATTAATAATAAATACATTAAAAAAGGGTAAAAAATCCAGAGAATATATTTTGTATTTTTATTTTTGGAGCAGCATTTTCTCGAATTCTTAAGACGCTTCTAACCCACTTACCTGCGCTTCCTTTTCCAGGCTCTGCTCCATAGCCACGATGTGGTGGCCCGGGATGTCTACGGGGAGGAGGCGCTGCGCGTCACCCCGCCCCCGATGGTGCCCTACCTCAATGGCGACGAGCTGGACAACGTCGAGGGCGGCGAACTGCAGCATGTGACCCGGGTGCGACTGGTGCAGTTCCAGAAGAACACGGACGAGCCCATGGTAAGCTGGATATTCCCCCTGGAGACCAAGCCTGACCAACTAACCAACCCTAAATCCCTTGCAGGGCATCACGCTGAAGATGACCGAGGACGGGCGGTGCATTGTGGCCAGGATTATGCACGGCGGGATGATTCATCGCCAGGCCACGCTGCACGTGGGCGACGAGATACGGGAGATCAACGGCCAGCCGGTGCAGCACCAGTCGGTTGGCCAATTGCAACGAATGCTGGTGAGCCCGCCAATCAATCTTCTCTCTCTCCCTCCCTTAACCCAAATCCCGGCCTGACTTTGACCACCTGCTAATTGAATGTGTCCGATCTTAATCCCTTCGTTGCAGCGCGAGGCACGCGGTTCTGTTACCTTCAAGATAGTTCCTTCGTACCGCAGCGCTCCGCCCCCCTGCGAGGTAAGTTACGGAACTGGGGTACTGCTTAATTTTAGTGTATATATTCAGTGTACTTTAAGGCTGACTAAACATCATACTAATCGTACAAGAAACTATAACATGATAGTTCCTCCTCATTTACTACCTCAAAATCTAATTATATTGAAGTCAGGGGATCTTTAAAAATTTTTATTAGATCAACATTTTATAAATATAAAATAAATGAGTTTTCTCCTTCGAAAACAATCAGTTATAAAAGTCAGGTAATTAAGTAATTAGCCTCTTAAATTTTAAATTAGATAAACAGTTAGATAAACATTTAAAATGATTTAAAAAAAATAAGATTTATAAACGTTTCACTTGAGTTTTCTCCTTCGAAAACAATCACTTATAAAAGACACTAAATTAAGTAATAAGCCTTTTAAATTCTAAATTAGATAAACATTTAGATAAACATTTTATAAATATAAAATAAATAATTTAAAGAAAATAAGATTTATAAACGTTTCACTTGAGTTTTCTCCTTCGAAAACAATCACTTACAAAAGTCACTTAATTAGGTAATTAGCCTGTTAAATTCTAAATACCTTGGCATTAAGTTATTAAGTTCGATGAAGTGGAATGCTTATATTGTTTGTCCATTTGCCGAAATCAAAATATCAATAGGGCTTAATTAGGTTGTTGTAATGGGCGCCCCGCCCTTTTAAAGTCAAAAGCAAAACAATGGGGCCTCGAAAACGCAACTTGGGCAATCGAGTGCACGGTGCAGCACATTGTAAGGTAATGGGAAAACTGGGTTTGTGCTCGCAGTCATGTAATATTTATGGCCGTGTAATGTACGTACGTATGAGGTATCCCGAACAACCCAACCTTCCGTGGCGCGTTTGTAGTTGTAGCCATAATCCATTATGCAATTATTTCGCAGTGCATTAACATAACTCCACACTCTCTCTCTCTCTCTCTGTTCAATCTGTTCCTTCCTTCCGCCCTCTCTTACCCCCTCACTCATGCCACCACGCAGCTTTTCAGGATCAGACCCGCTCCGGTGCTTGTAAGTATCACGCTCCCCACAATAGACACGTAATCACGCACACAAACCACCCAGAACCCAGAACACAACGGCCCACGCACCGCCCACTCGAGATTACTTTTACTCGAAAACACCCATTTACCCAGCGAAAAGCGAAAAACCACCCAACCCACCCACATTCCGGTAGATGTGCATATTCATTAACCCGCAGACAAGTCAAAAGGCACAACTCACACAAGAGCCGTAAATTTGTCTAATTTATGTTCATCACTTAGTCAACAGCAACGAAACAACGATACAACGGCAGGCAGGTCTTTGATGCCCCATTTTGGGTATATTGTGATTATGAACCAAAGTTTTGTGTTCCATACAGTTTGCCACATGACAACATTTTAATTTGCGAAAAAGTTATGAATAAACATTTGCACTTTGTTTCAAATTAAATATTTGTGCAGCTCAACTAGCTAGCAAACCACAATTATATTGTGTGTTTTGAACTGGTTTTGCGGGAGGAGTAAACAATAAAGTTACATAATTAATAGTTCTTCAAATATATATTCTATCCAAACCATCAAACTAAATGTTTTTCAATTAAACTTTGTCTGCTTAGCGGTCCGAGTATATAGTTTTTCCATTATAATTTTCAATTCGCCAGGGCATCTAACATTTCGAAGCGTCTGCTTGCCAAAGTTGTTTGTTTCTTTGTTGCTGCTGTTTTCTGCTTTTGACATGCAAATGAGTTTTGCATGTAAATCGCAAACCAGCAAACCATTTCGCTGAGGCAGCCGCAACTCAGTTGCAGCCTGAGCAAAAGTAGCTGAAATGGCAGAAAAATAGAAAAGCAGAAAAGGAAAACCGAATCATCGACCTGCTAGCAACTATTTGTGCTCATCTGTATTTTTGCATTTTGTGTCTCTCTCTTCCACTCGCAGATATTCGTGCGCGCCCAATTCGATTATAATCCGCTGGATGATGAGCTTATACCCTGCGCCCAGGCGGGCATATCATTCCAAGTGGGCGACATACTGCAGGTAGGTTTGAAGGTTTCTAATGGATTATTTCTAGATGTGATAAGAACCGATCTTTACAGATCATTAGCAAGGACGATCATCACTGGTGGCAGGCGCGACTGGACACGGTGGGCGGATCGGCCGGACTGATACCGTCGCCGGAGCTGCAGGAGTGGCGGATCGCCTGCCAGACGGTCGACAAGACCAAGCAGGAGCAGGGTGAGTGACCGGGGAGGGAGTCCTGGCCAGCGGAAGGCCGCAAACTCGAAACCCAACTATCCGTGTTCTCTATGTGTAATTGGATGCTCGATATAATCAAATCAAATCGTATGCTATATGAATAATTGTACTTATATTGGAAGTGTATGACGAACTCGTAGTTAACCGAAAGGGAAAGCGCGCTCTCTCTACGACTATATTTCTCTCTCTTTCACAAACATATATCCAGAAACAGAAACAAAAAACACACATATATGCCACCCACAAACACATATACACCCACATCTGTACACTAACACCCACAGAGAGTTGCATGCCCCAAAAAGTAGTCGAAGGAAAACCTTTTCAAATTAACCAAAAAACCAAACCAAAAAAAAAGGGGAAAGCCCCCTCCAAAAAGCGCTGCCAAATTTCAAGCTGAGAAACCAAAGACATATACATTTGCACACCTGTACAAAACTCTTATACCTAGTTGCTAACCATGAATCTCGCATCTCGAACCGAACCAAAGAATTGCTATAAACTATGTATGTATGATAATATAATGCAGGAGAACCGGGTGCTGGATGTTCCGCTCACGCAGATGGGTGTGATGGATCAGCAGGTAGTTACCATATAACCAAAAACCACCCACCACAACCACACACACAAAACGAACCACAAAAAAACCAAACGAATCTCCTCCAGGAGAGCTGCTAAGACTCGTCTTTTAACGTTTCTTCTTGAGTTCTGTTATGCCACAAACAAACACAACACAAACCGAAATACCCACCTGTACTATACAACAGAATTTCTATCGATAGCAATTTTTGTATAAAGAATTCACCCACCCACACACACCGAACCCAGTCACCCACTCAACCACCCGACTGCCCGAAAGTTGTAGCTTATGTAGACGGCACCACCGAACCACCCAGTTCCAGGAAACGAGTAGAACCGCCCCTCATGATCACAATCACGATCACGATCGCCATTGAAAAACAGTAGATTTCAGCACCTCAGCCATTGTTGTTAATGAACCCACAGTATTGAACCCCCCCGCTTATAAACCCAAAAGTAATATCCAACGAATTAGTTAGCCCCAAATATACACAAGTTCACACCACTGCACGTTAGGCTGGCTAAAAGAACACCTCATATCTGATTTGAAGAAGATCTAGGTCAGGAAAAGAATAAACTACCAAGGGAAATAACTTATTTAAAGTCCATTTATCATCTAAAAGGATATCATGAACTCATCCAATATAAGCAAAAATCGTGCTTGCTTCATGCTCGAACTTATCCAATGCCTGCTCTACAGCATGTTTTTGTGCCTGCTCTATAAGCATGCGGCTCTTAACCTACTCGGCTCTATCCTCCGTCTAATAAAACAATTCAATAACATTTGTTCTCCATTATAACCAACAGTTAACTGCTCCATCTTCGGGCGCAAGAAGAAGCAATGCCGGGACAAATACCTGGCCAAGCACAATGCCATCTTCGACACGCTCGATGTGGTCACGTACGAGGAGGTTGTCAAGGTGCCAGGTGGGTTTCATTGAGCTCCCTGCCACAGGTGAACCTTTGTTTATCCTTCCCTCAACCATTTCATTTCAGTTGGGGACCCAAACTTTCAGCGCAAAACGTTGGTGCTCTTGGGTGCTCATGGGGTGGGCAGGCGGCACATCAAGAACACCTTGATATCGAAGTACCCCGACAAGTACGCCTATCCCATACCACGTAAGTTTCCTTAAAAAACAGCTTCCTTAAATATAGACACTTCTTTTTGGGATTTACCTACATGTTGATATTTTTGATTTATAAGCACTTTTTTTATGCTAGAAAAACAGGCATCGCTCAATTGATTGGCCTAATGATGCAGAAAGCGTTAAATTCATCTTCTTTTTGTTACATAAAAGTTGAATCATCATAAATTTGCAGCGGTAAATAAAGCTATTATTTAGTCTGCAACCGAATTAGTCAATAACCGAACTTAAAGTCCCGAAGAGATTTATTTGCTTTAAAATATCGGCAGGGTTTTCTTGAACATAATTCAAAATAATGAAGTTACTGTCCTACTTACTATTTATTTGCCATTAAATTAATGGGTCGGTTATAATATATTACACTTGTAATGTGCAGTTATTACTAATTAGTAAATACATTACATTGAACTGGTAAAAGCAACATATTTTTGTTGTAACGAATTATTATTTAGTCCATGGATTATGACTGATTTCTTGCAATTTTTCAGATACAACGAGACCTGCCAAGCCCGAGGAGGAGAACGGACGCAGCTATTACTTTGTCTCGCACGACGAGATGATGGCGGACATCGGTGCGAATGAGTACTTGGAATACGGTAACGAACCCATCTATATAAGACAGCCCCAGGCCAATCTCATCCATGTCCCTTGAACCCTTGCAGGCACCCACGAGGATGCCATGTACGGCACCAAGTTGGACACCATCCGGCGCATTCACACCGAGGGCAAGATGGCCATTTTGGATGTGGAGCCGCAGGCATTGAAGATACTCCGCACCGCCGAGTTCACGCCCTACGTGGTGTTCATAGCGGCGCCCTCGCTGCAGAACATAGCAGATGTGAGTAGAGCGTAAAGGATGGACCAAAGTCGAACCCTTCTAATTGCTTTTTTGTTTTTTTTTTCACCCACGGCAGTACGACGGCAGCCTGGAGCGACTGGCCAAGGAGTCGGAGATGCTGCGCCAGCTATACGGGCACTTCTTCGATCTGACGATTGTGAACAACGACATCAGCGAGACGATTGCCACGCTGGAGACGGCCATCGACCGGGTGCACACCACCCCGCAGTGGGTGCCCGTGTCCTGGCTGTACTGACAAGACAGCGAACTGGAATGCCCCGACTGCCTCGAGGGCTGTGACTGCGAGTGGGACGCCTACACGCAGGCCTCCAACGTAGCGCTCTACTGAGGCCGAGAAGCAGATGCAAACGAAGCTGGAGATACACACCACACCATTAAAGTATTACCAAGGCACAAGCAACAGCAACTGAAAATGCAAAAGCAAAACAGCATCCACTACGATTGATGACAGTGAGGACTGGAGGATGGGAGGATAGAAGGCGCCTGGCGCCGAGCTATATAATTTAAGAATAGATGGGTATTATGGGAACTGCGGTCGCAACGCAAAGACAAAACAACCATTTGTTTTTGCCTCTTTTTTGTTTTCTGTCCCAACTATACGTTTAACGTTTATTTTGTATTAATTTTTAACCGATTGTATTTGCCATTCCATGCTCATTGTGTTATATATTTTACGATTATTGTTTTGTTGTATTGTTTTTATTCTGCATATAGTCAAACAGCATTAAACGCTTATGTAAATCTTGCACTTGTTAGTGTCTAAGTTAACTGGAGTTAGACAAATCGAAGCCCCCAACAGGAACCGAAGCACTCCAAATTGTTTTTACTCAAAGATTATTTTCGGGTAGAGTCTTGTGAGCAGATAGGGCGTTCAACGAGTTAGTAAATTATAGAGAAAACTACGTAATTAAATATAATTAAACATAGACACAAGGAGACACGACAGCAGAACAGCAAAACAGCAAAGAACACGAAGAACAGAGAATAATAAACAAATTACGATGTGAGCAATTTCAAGTGTTTCAAGCCAAGTAAGAACTAATTAATTACATACGGAAGATCAAGTCGAGGCGGTGGTAAAGTGCACGTTTTAAATGCAATAAACAAAAAGAAAAGGTAACTGAATAAGAAACAAAAAATATAATTAATTCAGATCACAACACTTACACACGGAGGAAAAGGAAAAAACATACATATAATACCAAAAAACCAAATTGTTGACGTTTAATTGAATTCAATGAGAAATGAGTAAACCACAAAAAATGCAATCAAACATAATAAAACAAAAAAGTACATAATTATAATTGCAGCCGCGTTTAATTCAAGCCAAAGCAAAGTAAACAAATGGAAAAAACATAGAGTGAGCACAAAAACACACACACTAACTGCAATTACGAATTAAAATAATTAGCGAAAGGATGAAGATGAGGAGATTGCAGGTCAACGCAGAAATATATGACAAAAACAAGAAGAAAGTAGGAAATCGAGGAAATGTGTATACACAACACATATATATATTTTTCGAACAACTCAAACTCAGGTTGGATACATTGAAAATCAGTCAAGTTCAATAAGAATAATATAGCGGAGCGCTTCCTTTTAACCCACAGCCAAAAACGAATACGAAAACCAAACAAGGTGACCCAAACCGAATCGAATCGAATGAGATCTTATATCGCTTTGAATTGAATTGAATTAATCGTACACCCACTGGCCCAGTAACCACCCAAGCAGCAGCTTCAAATTTTCGAGATACTTTACAATGACACCGACAAACTGTCTTAGCAATCAAGAAACCTGGCATTTTTTTAGTGCAACTTCATAGTCAGCAACCAGCGCTCAGTAATTTCGCTTTTTCCCTCAATGTAAATCTCTTAACTTAGAGATTCAGATCCGAAAGGAGTATTTTGAATTAGCTTCCCTCACAAAGAGCTTCTGAGATGGACGAAAGCTGATTTTAGATCACTAAATCACTAAATGGGATAGGAAAATCGATGAATAAATCACACTCAAGATCGAACTTAGTATTAAACCGAACACATTTGTAAACACGTGCCACGCGATTCTCTAGCTGTCCCCCAAAACAATTTAAGCCTGAGCTTGATTCGAGCCCAACCACACGACCCACTTGAATTTCCCAACCGCACACCACACAAGAACAACATACTTATATCCAGAACAATTCTATGGTTTCAAAATGGTTGAACAATTTTGCATAGAGTATTATCGTTAGACGCTGGGCTAAAACTTTTCGGTTCTGAGCGTGGAAGGAGATAGCAGTGAGCAGTGAGGCAATGCAAATCATAGAAGTATCCCAAAGAAGAACAACCGAACCTACCCGAAAAACTGAAGAACTAACTACCTACCCACAACCACAAACGCAGCCGAGTGGCCAAATTAACTAAGTATTATACCTTAAATGAACGAACGGGACGAGACACGACGATACGATATAGGAGGAGGCAGGAACCAGGAACCTTATAAGGAACACGGCTGGAGATGTACATTTTGAAGCTCCCCCAACCAAGGCTGGATGTGCTAGAAAACACCAAAAATGATGAAATGATTAGGAAAAGAATGCTCAAATCAAAATCTTATATTTTACGGTATAACAATGATTAGGAACGATTGAACAGAATTGAAAGTGGAGGAGGGGAACCGGCATAGAGAGTATCCCGAGATTGAGCTAGAATTTTGAAGGACTCGTTTCGTACTTTTACTTGATCCTTTTTTTCTTAGCCGATGCGAGCAGATTGTAGCTGTACTCTAAGAATAATTTCACACTAAGATTAAGTAAAAATTTATTGTTGATATTACATAAAAAAGAAAAACAAAGAAATGAGATTAACACGGTCACGTAAACCAAATGAATTAGAATTTTTCTCTAATTTCATAAGTCAATGATGATATGATACTGAGGGTAACGATGGTGAAGATGAGTTGAAAATGCTTATGATCTCCAATGTCAATATGTGTAGATTGACGCGATTTGAGCTAATTGAGTGAATTGTTATTAAAATAATAAATGAAATGAAATGAAGTGAATGGATCGGCAGATCGATCGATCGTTTTGGGGCGCAGAAGGCCGCGGAGTTAGTAAATATCATTTAAAGTAAATGATAAAAATGTCATTATATATACATAGTTTAAACATGGGATTAATAATAATAAATTAAATGAAACAGAAACAGTAAAAGAACCGAAGGCGAAGACGATAAAAACGGGAATGAGAATTAAATAAAAACGAGTAAACACTGAAATACCGAATTTTAAATACATAAGTTTTGAATCATGCATGCAGCAAAGACAAAGCAAAACCAAAACCCACACAGAAACCGAAACAGAAATAATAAAATGAACTTCTATATATGAAAAGAGAACAAAAATATACGAGAGATACAATTTCAACATGCTTTTGCAATGATTTTCGGAAGACCCAAAAAAAACCCAAAACCCCCAGTTCCGCTGCAAAGAAAGACTCAAAATCAGAACCTTTCGAGTTCTTAGAAAGCCAACCGCGAATTTCGCAGAAAAGCTCAATGGCCAGCGGAAATCAAGAAGTCAAGGCAATCGGACACAGCGGATGCCCTGCAGCCATGGCTTTTTCAGCCTCAGCCTCAGATACACTTGTATCTTGAGCTTCTAATTGAAACATTACACTCGAATTTCAAACATTGTCGCACGGCTTCTCAAAGCTTGACCCAAATTTGTTAGCATGTTTTCAAGGTAAGGCGAATTTGATACTTTCGTTTTTGTTTTTTTTTCGGCTTACTTTGGGTCTTATTAATTTTGTTTTTCTCTGTTGGCCACAGACAGTACCAAAAGTTTTTGATTACTGGCCAGGCCGCGCCGTTCTTTAGTAATCTTGCGCAAGTCTGGGCCGGCAAACTGCAATCATTTCAATCTGCCGAGCCCTCCTCCTTCTCCTCATCGACGGACTTGTGCTACCAAACAAACTGGAAGTTGGCGACGTGCTTGGAAATATTAATAAGCGGAAAAGCTGTTCCCCCAAAGCGGCAGATGTCAACAATAGATATTTGTGCCAGGCCATTAGCATTGGCCATTACCGTTGGAGGAGTAGAACTTCTGCTGGCCGCCAGTCATTGAACTGCAACTGTTGCTGCTGCTGCTGTCGCTGCAACATTTATTCAGCACCGCAGCAACATGTTGCTGTCGTGGCGCAACACTTATTGCTGCTGCTGCTGCTGGCTGATCGGATCGGCTTGTTCTCTCCGGCGATCGAGTTTTGGTAGCCAGTTTCAGTTTGGTTTCGAGTCTGCGCCCTGGAAGTTGTGCCTGTGCTCGCGTTTGGAGTGTAAGTGCTGCCGCAAATTCCGGCTTTAAATTGCAATTGAAGGCACGTCGTCGTCGCTCGCCGTCGTCGTTCGGTGTGAGTTTTGAGTTTTAGTGTGTTTTAGTGTTTAGTGTTTACTTATTCAGAGTACTTGACTGCCACTGCCTGTGTGTGAGCTGTGTGTGCTGTGCTGTTGAAATCCGCACAAACGTAATACGATCCCAAGATCCCGAGCAATCTATATATAGAACCTCTTATCACTCGGGGGCGCCAACAGGCGAGCAATCGACGACCTCTGACCCACAAACCGTAAAACTCGAACGATGCTAAAGCCAGCCAGCTAGCCAACCTTGTGCAATGGCCCCCGGTATCTTGGCGATAAGGCTAACCAGTGGCTAACCACTCTATCGATAGAGCTCGCATGTAGAATTAGCCCCGTAAAAAGTATCGTAAAAAAGTATCTTGAGCTTCTGCCCAAAAAGCCGCTTCTGCTTGGTGGTTACGTCAATTCCAATCCGCATTCGAGTTCGGGTTCTCGTGCAGGTAAATAATACAAAACAACGCAACAAGCAGCAGCAGCACCTCGCAGCCAGACAACTTTTGTTTAACACCGCTCAAGGAAACAACGCACACGGGGAGCAAGCATAAAATTAAGCGCGATATAAACTGCAGACCTTATGCCCCGCGAGTGTGCCCTTCGTCCGGGGTTTACTTTGCCTCTGCTCCAGACCACGACCACAAAAGAGCGCATGAAATGCGCATAAAGAATCTCCAATTGACTGGGCTCCAGTCTACCACGGTTTCAAGCACTGAGAGAAATAAGCTAATTTTTTCAGAGATTTTTGTGATATAAAGTTATATGGGCACTTCCAAAATGTCGCTCGGGACATTTGCACACATTTAAAGTTGAAAAAAAATTGTAAAACAATGGATTTTAATTTTAATTATGGGCTTTTCTTTTCACTCTTCCCAAGCTCTATTTTTGGTAAAAATCTTGATTTTGTACCACTTTTAGTTTTTAAGATATCGGTAAAAAAATGCCGTATTCGCTCGGGACAAAAATAGAAGTGGATTTCGGGAAAGTTCATACAACACCTAAAATTAGCGAATTCTGATGGAATATTTTAATGCGATTTTTTTTAGAATGTTGTTCAAACATGTCGCTGTGAAATGCTTTTGGTTTTACTCAAAAATTCTTTGCCGATTTTTTTTTATGCATTTTCAACCACATTCGCTCGGGACATGTCGCTCGGGACATTTTTTCCGACGGTTTTGTAAAGCGAATTTCTTTACCTCTATCTCTCAATTGCTGGATGTTTTGCTTTTAACTTAATAGTTTAGCATGTGAATGAAGCATTCAGTACAGAAAAATGTCACATATTAGCATTCCTATAGGATAAATTAACAACAGAAGTCAGGTCCAAAAAAATACAAAAAAATAGCCAAAAACTGATTTTTGTGTATATTGGTGGAGTTTGTCATAAAAATAATCAAACTATACTCCAAATTTGTAGTTAAGCTCAGTATCCAACTAATTAGAAACTAATATCGGGGCAAAATCATATGGAAATATGTTTTATTCAAGTTTTAAGGTTTTTGGCTTGGTGGACTTTTTTTTGGAAGTGCCCATATGCTTTTTTCTATATTAGAATTGTCAGAATATGGAAATAAAATTTAATTGCAAATATTTATCCTAATTAAAAATACAAAAAAAATCCTAACGAAATTTTTATTGGCAGAATTTTTTTGAGATTTTTAAGATTTACAGTTATAGACTTTTTTCGATATTAGAACAGTCAGAATATGAAAATAAAATTTAATTGCTAATTATCCTAATTATCCTAATTCAAAATACAAAAAAAAATCTTAACGAGATTATTATAATAATTGATCTGTTCAGTTCTTATATCATCAAGTTGTTTTAATTAATAGAGATAATTCTAGTATCAAGAATATCCTTGTTCTTATTGTAATTTCCCGGTTCTTTCGATCTATTTAGCTCTTATCTATTTACCGCGCTATTTTTCTCAGTGCAGAGGGAGTCACAGTTGAACGAGTTGATTTTTAGTTGCCTTTGCTTTAGAGTCCGAGTGCGCGCATTGAATTTTTGATTTAATTCGTCTTCTTCATCTCGAACTCCGGTTCGCGGCTTTTTTGTGGGTCTTTTGCACAAGGTTATGCGTCCGCTATTGTAAATACCCCCACCGCCAAAACTAACTATCATTAAGTCACATAACACATGCCTTTCAAGCGGGACTTTGAGCTCCAGTTTGGCAATTGTCTTGCGATGGAGAACTAAGCTCATTAGGGCATTAGATGTTTGCTAGAAGTTGACAACCCTCGAAATCGGATTCTACACAAGAACACCAGAAACAATGTTTGAATCTATAGATAGAGGTATTTCAATCGTGGGGTTCATCTTGGGGGCCAAGTTTCCTGAGTTAATCAGACGACTTACTGATTGCAGCATCTATATTTGTGTTTATAAATTGTGCAAATAAGTATTTCCTGGAATTGCCCATCATCATATGTATTAAACATAATGCAGATCTTCCCTTTGTTCCATTCAGGGCTAGTTCCATTACTGGCCATTTTCATTCAGTCATTCTTCCTGCTGCTTTTTTCGTTTTTTATTTCGTTTTTGCTGCTACTGGTGGACAAGTTTAGCGACGCCTAGATTTTATGGTTCACGTAAATTGTTAACAATTTGATTGTCATCATGGCTGTTTGTCTGGCGTTGCGCTTGACTGCTTCGCTGCGGGGCGACAGGTGTGACTCACGAACGTGGCTAACACCCGGCTAACCTCTGCGTTTTGTGGCCCCTCAAAAACACGTCGCTCTTTCTGATAACGGCTCGAATTAAAAGTTGCCATGCTGTTAGAATGTGTGTGGCTCAGGCTCGGGCCAATTACTTTGGCTTCCTTGCCGGCCATAATAATAATCTCGGTGGCCAGAAATATTGGCGAACGGCATAACCGGTCTCGAAAGGTAGTGGGCCAACAAGAAAACGGTTACGAGGCATGCAAAATGTTTTTAGGAAATAATTTGCAAGTCAAAGCGACAGCAAGAGCCAAACCAATTTCGATGGCTGCTTTACTTTGTAGCCGTTTTTACGGCCAGGCCAGAAAGCCAGCGGCTAATTGCATCCACTTAAGCTGATCGGAGCAGAGCTTCGGCTCATCGCCAGCTGGTGGCCTCTACCTCTGCGGAACCCGAGTTGTTAACTCTTAACTCAATTCAACTCGACTCGGTCGGTTCAAGTTCAGCGCCACTGAAGGTTCATGGCCAATTAGAGCGCGCTTGAATTATCGCCCGTTTATAGAGTGGAAAACAAACACGGCGGCCCTGCAATTATGGCCATATATTTAACCCCCCTCTGTGTAGCAACTGCTCCAAGCAGTGGCTTTAAAATATAAACAAACAATAGAGGTTGCAGGTGAAAAACTTTCCGGTTTCTGTCAGAATGACTAATGATATCGGTTAGCAAAATGATTTAAAGATGGAACTGTTGGTAGGCACTTGATTTATACACTGCTATTAAGAGCTATTTAAGCAGTAATTTCAAGTAATTATTATAGAATATATCTGTCTTCTTGGCAGTGGATAATTATCAAAGGAGAAAGAATTTATTGAATAATATCATAATAATCTAATATCAGGATCTGCTAATTTCTTCATTGAAATATATTGGAAACCAAAAGTAGTACTCCCATTTGACTAATATTAGGAATTTTTATACTTATCCCATATTTTACTTTAATTATCCCCAATAGTTATTGCCTTGAATGCTGAGCGATGAGGTCGTGGCCTGTCCTTTTCTGGCTGCTGACCCTGGCGCTCCTGGCGGATGGAGGTCATCGCGAGTCCCAGCTTCGGATCGGCAAGGCCATCAATATATTCTTGCGCTATGGCTACCTGAGTATCTCCATGCGGGTGATACCGCTCAATGACAACGTGGAGCCGGAGCGTTGGGTGTTTAAGGAGCCCACCAGGAATATCTACAGGGTAATTATTAAATTACTTAATATAAGGGTTAAATAGGGCAAAACCAAGCAGAAAACAAGAGAGAACGCTATAGTCGGGTGCCCCGACTATCAGATACCCGTTACTCAGCTAAAGGGAGTGCGAAAGAGATGGAGAAAAACTTTGATCCGCCGTAACTTTTTAACGAATGGTCCGATTTAAAAAATTTCTTCTACATTTCGATAGGTATTGATAAACACAATAAAACTGCATTTTTACTTTTCCAAAATATTGAAATTTTTAAAATCGTATATATGCGATTGTGGGCGTTAGAGGGGGCGTGGCACCCTTTTGAAACAAACTTGCGCTGCGTAGGAACTCCTAGAATCTGCATGCAAAATGTCAATCTTCTAGCTTTTATAGTTTCCGAGATCTCAGCGTTCATACGGACAGACGGACAGACAGACAGACGGACAGACGGACAGACGGACATGGCTAGATCGACTCGGCTAGTGATCCTGATCAAGAATATATATACTTTATGGGGTCGGAAACGCTTCCTTCTACCTGTTACATACTTTTGCACGAATACAATATACCCTTTTACTCTACGAGTAACGGGTATAACTATTATAAATCGTATTAACCTTTGTCCAAAGTACGCATTAACATTTTTGTACATGTAAAGTAGATAAAAACATTTTGTTGGTTGAGCTAAATTGGTTATTATTAAAAACCACTTTTTTATACTTCCGCTAAATTTGGTAATGGAATGGACCCACTAAAAATTTAATGTTTTACCACCTCAATTAAATGTGAGTGACAAAAAGTGCCGCTTATAAACTTTTTAGATAAATAATTATATAATAAGAGAGAAAGAAATTTAAAATGGGACATGAAAAGGGATAACTCCGTACTACTTCCATTTAGTAACAAATCTTGTATCCTTTTAGAACCTGAGTGGCTTGGAGGAGAGCCATGAGGACACCACGCCGGGCATCTTTCACGGGGACTTTCACATGGAGTTCTGCGAGAACCGGAGGCAGTTGTTTCAAGCATATTTCCGGGACTTCTCCATCGAGCACATGGACAAGCCGTGGGAGGCGTTCTCGGGCGGATGGTTTCCGGACAATGCGGCCAAGAAGCTGGGCATCAATACGTCCTTCATCCAAGGCGATTACTCGTACGTTTTGGTGAGGGTGGTGCGATTCAGGGAGACGGGTCGCCTGAAGGCCGAGATCCCGGAGCAGCAGCCCCTGGAACCGGATGTTAGGTATCGCATGGATCAGGTGGAAATCGGGAATATAACGTCCGCAGTTCGATTTATGGAAACGGTGGGCACGCACTATGTGAACTCGTACACCACCGGCAATTCGCTGTACCAGGTGTTTGTGTACAGCCGCAAGAACTACAGCATGATCAAGGAGCGAATCAAGAGCAAGGGCCTGAATGGCCTCTCGAAGCTGGATCTCTACAACTACTTTGCACCCTGGTTCGCCGCGCATCTCGGCCGCATTCGATCGGCCAGCGCCAATGCGACGGTGGAACGTTGGGCCAACCGGAAGCTGCAGTACGAGTACTATGTGGTGAAGTACGTGACCCTGCTGAAGCTGCACGGGAATAGTACGCTCCTGCGATCGCTGGACGCGCTGCTGGGCAACGATGCCATCCTGCAGCTGGACCTCAGGTCGCTGAAGCCCCTCTTCCGGGGGGAGCCGGAAAAGGAGAGCTGGTACCACGAGGTCCTCGACAACAACATGAAGCTCTGGGAGCTCAACATGCCGCAAAGTCTCTCCAGCCGATAGGAGGATATCTCTCTCTGAAGTGGGGTATTCCATTTCGTTTATATTATGTGCGATATTCTGGCAGCCAAGGATCCATAGTTCCTAGATGCTTAGTTGTAGTTGGACCTCTAGTGCGTAGTTAATGTTCTGCCTGTGATAGTTTTAGGTAGTTTAATTGAACCAGAGTACACATCTGACTTGCATTTCAGCTGACTAGAACGTAAGATCGCCTTACTGATGTACTAGTTTTTTATACCTTAATAATAATGATCAAAGTCGAAAAGGTGGTGTTTTTATTATTTATTATATTCCAATTACTTAGGTATCGGGCATTTAAAGTATGCTCCATAAATCTGTTAAAAAACTAAATTAAATTACACCCGTTTCACCAAATTTGTGAACTAAATTGTGTTGCAATTACTGGGCTTTCAGTCATATCTTCTTATCCATCATTAATTCAAATGTAAATTTGAATTTAATAAAAATAACGGGTTAAGTACTGACCGGTTATACCCGTTTCATCGAAGATTTCAACCTGGGCTATCAAAGTTTCCCACCATTTATACTTTATTTTAGTATTTTTCCAGTTGCCTTAGGTATATTTTAGCGGTTTAGTTACGGTCATACTGAAATACCCAAATCAGCACGTGCGGCTTTTGTATTTTGGATTTGTCGGATTTATTTGAATACTCATGGATACTTTTACCAATTGCCCGGGATTCTGCCCCTCCTGTGGCTCCATTCTGCCCGAGCTGCAAGTCAAGGGCAACGTGATTTGCTACAACTGCAAGCAGGAGTTTCAGCCAGATGGTAAGACCAGAATTTACTCATTTCTCAGCGGGTTTTCATATATTTTTCGATTTTATAACTAGTTTATAGCGGTGAGAAGTCGGAGTTCACCATCCATTTCAACACCTATGATCCCAGCAAGGTGTTCAACAGGACCAAAAGGGAATCGGAATCCTCGGAGGCGGATGGTCCCGTGGTGGAGAGGAAGTGTCCCAAGTGCAACCACGACAAGATGTCCTACGCCACCCTGCAACTTCGATCGGCGGACGAGGGACAGACGGTGTTCTTCACCTGCCTCAAGTGCAAGTAGGTATCCCTAAGTTCCTCTACTTCCTGAATTAACCCTATACTTTCGCTTTACAGATTCAAAGAATCGGAAAACTCCTAGATGCTAACAATACCTGTGTAAATAGTCTTATAACTAGTGAAAGTAATCATGTTCAACGGCCTGCAAAATATAGAATATTCAATTTGTAATTACTATATAGTATCGATTTGGAAAGCGAAACCCACCTCGCTGGCCTTAAGTCGGTTTTTGGGATTGTAGACCACTAGATTTGAGACCAGATTGATTTCCACCGCATGTGTGCAGCTGGGAAATAAGTTGTCCCAGTGAATGCCCACGGAGTTGGGAAAGCTATAGACATAGGAATGTGGAAAATTATATATCCTGTAATCATGTCATAGGTTGCTACTCACCGTATCTTGCTGTAATCCGGCAGGGAGGTCAGTTCCGGCCACTGATTCAAACGTGGACTGCCCAGCGTCCGGATGATAATGGCCAATTGCTCGATGTCGGTGGTTCCTGCAAACAGAGGCACTCCTCTCAGCATCTCCGCCACCACGCAGCCTGTTGTGGGATATCATTAATATTAATTATATTATTTTTATACCCGTTACTCGTATGTATAATGGAGAAAGAAGCGTTTCCGACCCTATAAAGTATATATATTCTTGATCAGGGTCACTAGCCGAGTCGATATAGCCATGTCCGTATGAACGATGAGATCTCGGTAACTACAAAAGCTAGAAGGTTGAAATTTCCCACACATGTTCTTTGGCTTCCTACGCAGCGCAAGTTTATTTAAGCCGATCGCCACGCCCCCTCTAACGCCCACAATCGCCCACTAACGATTTTAAAAGGTGTCTGGCGCCCACACCTTTAAAGATTTCCGAGAAATATAAGTGCCATTTTGTTGTGTATATTTATACCTATCGATATGTTAAAGAAATTTAATATATAGCGGACAATTCATTAATGTTATATATCCATCTACCTCGCACTCCCTTTAGCTGAGTGACGTGTTTTAGATAGTCGGGACTCCAACCCGACTATAGCGTTCTTTCTTGTTTTATCTTGTGAGATCTATGCAGAGCCTACATATAAGTCCTAGGATCTACATACCTGCTGCCCACATGTCCACTCCAGTTCCGTACTTCTGGCTGCCCCAGAGAATCTCGGGAGCTCGATACCAGCGCGTGGACACCTGGGGCGAGTAAAGACGCGACTCCTCTTCGGGGAAGTACAGACGGGCCAGTCCGAAGTCGGCGATCTTGAGCATATCCGCCTCGCTAATCAGCAGGTTGGCCGGCTTGATGTCCCGGTGCATCAGACCGGCGTCGTGGAGATAGGCAATGCCCTTGAACATTTGGTGGGCGAACTTTCGCACCTGCTGGCGGCTCAGGGGATTCACCTCGCTCTTGAGTCGGTTGTACAGGGTATCTGGCTGGTATTCCAGCACCAAAGATAGACCAGTCAGGTCGGGATAGATGTCAATGATGCCCAGGATCTGCAATTAAACGGGTTACTAAGGGGTTATATGACTACCTTAAGCTTAACTCACATATTCCGACTTGCAGAGCTGCAGGGTTTTGATTTCCCTCAACGTGTTCAAAGCAATATTCCCGAATTTGTTCTTCAGGGCCACCTTTTTGATGGCCACCTCCTTGTTGCGCTGCAAGTCGATGGCCTTAAACACGCAGCCATGGACACCTTCGCCGATTTTCTCGAGCATTTTATAGCGACTTGGGGCATAGTCCTCCATTTTCAGTACTGACAATTTTCAATTTGGTAATTGTCCGAGGTGCTTTTCATATTTTTTATACCCCCCTGTAGTCCATGGTAACGGTCATAACAAATGCCGGAGGACCAGCTGATGGGTCCACCTGTTGCAGGATGTTTACAAACGACGCGGTGCCGGGGGAACTACGGGGGTTGGAAAGCCTAGGCCAAGGCGGAGCTGTCACAGCTTTCGGTTTAGGGACATGCGCACTTCCTTCCTCGAATTCCTCCTGTCAGCCAAGTGTCAAGTCAGGGGGATACATAATTTTTCGGACCCTCGCACTGCAAAAGTTCTTCGTTGGCCGAGAGTTGAATTGAAATCAGTGTGGAAAATGATATCAATAGTGAAATAAAATTCAGATCCAGGACTAACAAAGCTGGTATGTTTTACTCTGTTTTCGAAAAGAAGTTTTCAACGAGTGCAAAGGCTAAGAAAGTATACAATTCAAAACTCCTCCTTCGCGTTAACGAGGATACTAAATAATGCAGGGCTCCTTTTAATCATCAAATTGCTTTATAATTGCGAAACGTGCCCGCATGGCTGCAGCAATTTGAAGCAATTTCGCTGGCCTGGCCTTCGCCTTGCCCCACCTGTCCTGTGAAATTGCATGCGAGCCCTCGCAATTGCAGGTGGAAGCCCTAAAATACACGCCCACTGGGCGCAGCCTTGCCTCGGCAGCCTTGGCAGCTTTGGCCCACCTGAAACCACCACCCACCACCCACAACTTAGCTCCAAGTTCACGTCCTCGATACGATATATGTAAGCCCCGTTCACATTTAGACTCGTTTTGCAGCCCACACGGTCAACATGTTCCGGCCAAGTTGGATTCCCTTCGCCAGTCTGCTGTTCCTGCTCCTTTGGAGCACCGCCCGGGGCAGGACGGCCAAGAGATCGGACGTCTATATAGCGGGATTCTTCCCCTATGGCGATGGCGTGGAGAACTCCTACACGGGACGGGGAGTTATGCCGAGTGTTAAGCTTGCTCTGGGCCATGTTAACGAGCATGGAAAGATCCTGGCCAACTACAGGCTGCACATGTGGTGGAACGACACTCAGGTGAGTGAAGGTTATCATTTTGGGAAGTAATAATGATAAGTACGATTTTAATACAATAAGGATTGCTTTCTAGTCCTCATTTAAATTTAAATTATATTAATTGTGAGTTTAAACCTACTTTAAATTTGAAGTGCACCCAAAAAAATCGATATGAAACGTAGATCAATTTTACATTATTTAAGATCAATTTTAATTTGATATGTGGCCAGGTAAATTTGAGTGTTTCATGTTAAAACGATATGGGTTTTGCAAGACCTGATATTTACATGGCAATATCAATTTTACGGGAGCATGCTTTTTTTTGTGTGTGCGGATTAGAAATTGTCCTAATTCTTCCAAATGTCATATATATTTAATATCTTTAAGATTAATTTTGCTTTTTTTAGCATTTTAAAAAACAGGAGAGGGAATCCTCATTCATTTTTTAAGTGTGGAAAATGATATTTATTTCTTAAACATATCTTTTTTAGATCTGGCTGCCTAATGTCCCTTACATTTAATAATACAATCTAATTTCCTTCATTTTTCCAGTGCAATGCTGCCGTGGGCGTAAAGTCCTTCTTCGATATGATGCACTCGGGTCCGAACAAGGTAATGCTCTTCGGGGCAGCCTGCACCCACGTCACCGATCCCATTGCAAAGGCCAGCAAGCACTGGCACCTCACACAACTGAGCTACGCGGACACCCATCCCATGTTCACCAAGGACGCCTTCCCCAATTTCTTCCGGGTGGTGCCGTCGGAGAACGCCTTCAATGCACCGCGATTGGCCTTGCTCAAGGAGTTCAATTGGACCCGGGTGGGCACTGTCTACCAGAACGAGCCGCGCTACTCGCTTCCCCACAATCACATGGTCGCAGATCTGGACACCATGGAGGTGGAGGTCGTGGAGACGCAGAGCTTCGTCAACGATGTGGCCGAATCGCTAAAGAAACTCCGCGAGAAGGACGTGAGGATCATACTGGGCAACTTCAACGAGCACTTTGCTCGAAAGGCCTTCTGCGAAGCTTACAAGTGGGTACCAATATGTTTAAGAGAATATTATTAAGAAACACAAAAAAAAGCCACATGGCCATGTAAATTTCAGGTCATGCAAAACCCATATTGTTTTTACATGAAATACTCTATTTGACCATTTCAAATTTATCTGGCAACATTTCAATTTAAAATGTATCTTAAATAATGTAAAATCGATATACGTTTCACACAGATTTTTTTTTGGGTGAAGTTTAAAGGCTGAAATTCTTTTGTACATCATTATGAATTCTGTCCTAAACCCCCCATAACCACTGTTTTAAAAATATTTATAATTATTAACATTTATTCTTCCAGATTGGATATGTATGGTAGGGCCTACCAGTGGCTGATCATGGCCACATACTCCACTGATTGGTGGAACGTCACACAGGACAGCGAGTGCAGTGTGGAGGAGATAGCCACCGCCTTGGAGGGAGCCATTCTAGTGGATCTGCTGCCCTTGTCCACCAGTGGCGATATCACAGTGGCCGGCATAGTAAGTATCTACATTTACAGAAAATATCTTATTTGGTCTATCTATAATTTTTGTAGACTGCCGATGAGTATCTGGTTGAATATGACAGACTGCGCGGCACCGAATATTCCCGCTTTCATGGCTACACCTACGATGGAATTTGGGCTGCTGCTCTGGCCATTCAGTATGTGGCCGAAAAGCGCGAGGATCTGCTAACACATTTCGATTATCGTGTCAAGGACTGGGAGAGTGTCTTCCTTGAGGCTCTGCGCAATACCTCCTTTGAGGGTGTGACGGTAAGAGAAACTGTGCAGATTTTTTCTCAAGTGTAGATTTTATTCGTAAATTTCCCGCAGGGTCCTGTGCGTTTCTACAACAACGAACGCAAGGCCAACATCCTGATCAACCAGTTCCAGTTGGGTCAAATGGAGAAGATCGGGGAGTACCATTCCCAAAAGTCGCACCTCGATTTGAGCCTGGGAAAACCAGTGAAATGGGTGGGAAAAACGCCGCCCAAGGATCGAACTCTGATCTACATAGAACACAGTCAGGTCAACCCGACCATATATATTGTATCGGCTAGTGCCTCGGTTATTGGTGTGATCATTGCAACGGTTTTCCTGGCCTTCAACATCAAGTATCGCAATCAAAGGTGGGTTGATTAGATATTTTGATTTACCTTCCTTTTATTAAAATACATATTTCTATTTTCAGGTACATAAAGATGTCCAGTCCCCATCTGAACAACCTGATAATCGTGGGCTGTATGATGACCTATCTGAGCATCATTTTCCTGGGACTGGACACCACCTTGAGCAGTGTGGCAGCTTTTCCCTACATTTGCACAGCTCGAGCCTGGATCCTGATGGCTGGGTTCAGTCTCAGTTTCGGAGCCATGTTCTCGAAGACTTGGCGGGTGCACTCCATATTTACCGATCTTAAGCTCAACAAGAAGGTGATCAAGGACTATCAGTTGTTCATGGTTGTGGGCGTGCTGCTGTTCATCGATATTGCCATCATAACTACCTGGCAGATTGCAGATCCCTTCTATCGCGAGACCAAACAATTGGAGCCTCTGGTGAGTGGATTGATTTGAAATATTTGTGTTTAAGTATTTAAAATTATTCATTTCCACAGCATCACGAGAACATCGATGATGTATTGGTGATCCCAGAGAACGAATACTGCCAATCGGAGCACATGACCATATTTGTGAGCATTATCTATGCATACAAAGGCCTGCTTTTGGTGAGTTAATAGTTAATAGTTGCTCATATTATATTATATTTAATTGATTTAATTTAATCCCACAGGTCTTTGGCGCCTTTTTGGCCTGGGAAACTCGACATGTTTCGATACCCGCATTGAACGACTCCAAGCACATTGGCTTCTCCGTTTACAATGTGTTCATCACCTGTCTGGCCGGAGCGGCTATATCCCTGGTGCTATCGGACCGCAAGGATTTAGTTTTTGTCTTACTCTCGTTTTTTATCATTTTTTGTACGACAGCCACTTTGTGTTTGGTGTTCGTACCGAAAGTAAGACTGGTAGTAAGGAAGTTTTGTAGTTTTTGTAGCTGTTATATGTTACATATATACTCGTTGTCGAACTATGAATGTTGTTTGAGGCGGTGATTTGGCGATCGGTTTTAGTTAGAGCATTCCCACCGATCGAATCTCACCGCCAACTGGGCTGATCTTTCGTCTAGCGCTGATACACCATGATACAGAAACAACATGTACTCGAAATTTCAAAACAGATCCTCAAATGCTATATAACACTACAGACTAACTATAAACTTGAGCTATGTAGAACCCAATCCGAGCAGCAGCAAGGTTATAGACAGGTTCTATGTCCTTGCTGTTGGGATAAACTGTCCTATACTCACTGTCCGTAGAGTAGATCCTTCCTGAATGTATTATCCCTGTAGTATTATCGTCGTTTAACATTCATGCGAATCGCTTTGCAGTTGGTGGAGCTGAAGAGGAATCCCCAAGGTGTCGTGGACAAACGGGTGAGGGCCACCCTGAGACCCATGTCCAAGAATGGACGCCGGGACTCCTCGGTCTGCGAACTGGAGCAGCGCTTGCGGGATGTGAAGAACACGAACTGCCGCTTCCGAAAGGCTCTGATGGAGAAGGAGAACGAGCTGCAGGCTCTGATCCGGAAGCTGGGACCCGAGGCTCGCAAGTGGATCGATGGGGTGACCTGCTCGGGTGGCTCCAATGTGGGCAGTGAGCTGGAGCCCATTCTGAGCGATGATATTGTCAGGCTGTCGGCTCCACCAGTGCGTCGGGAGATGCCCAGCACCACAGGTGAGTGGCTAGTGGGGAGGACTTTGCGGATATGTTCATGCATTGCAAACCCTTTGTCATAGAAGTTACCGAGATGACGTCCGTGGACAGTGTGACCTCGACCCATGTGGAAATGGACAACTCCTTTGTGTCCGTGCAGTCCACAGTGATGGCACCATCGCTTCCTCCGTAAGGCTGTTCTATTTAATGTTGTTTATGTTATTCAAATATCATTATTTCCTTAATAGCAAAAAGAAAAAGCAATCCATTGTGGAGCACCACTCGCACGCCCCTGCGCCCACCATGATGCAGCCCATCCAGCAGCAGTTGCAGCAGCATCTGCAGCAACATCAGCAGATGCAGCAGCAACACCAACAGCAGCAGCAGCAGCAACACCAGCAAATGCAACAGCAGCAGCAGCAGCAGCATCACCAGCAGCAACACCATCGCCATCTGGAGAAGAGGAACTCGGTGTCCGCCCAGACAGACGACAATATCGGGAGCATCACCAGCACGGCGGGCAAGCGGAGCACCGGCGACTGCTCCAGCATGCGGGAGCGGCGACAGTCCACCGCCTCGCGGCACTACGACAGCGGCAGCCAGACGCCCACCGCCCGGCCAAAGTACAGCAGCTCGCACCGGAACTCCTCCACCAACATCTCCACTTCGCAGTCGGAGCTGAGCAACATGTGTCCCCACTCGAAGCCCAGCACGCCGGCTGTGATCAAGAGTAAGTCAAAATATGGTGTTGCAATCACTAAAGTAATAACTATAATTTGGTAGTTATCCATTTCAAAATATATATAGGTATCAAAGGGGAGCCACAATGCTCCCTTTGATAAATCTCGAAAATGAGGATCTTATTTTTGGCCAAAATATGAGTTTTTCGCACTGTTTTTTTGGCTCTAAATTTGTCAAAAATGGCACCATTTCAAAAATAAGTACTGTTTTGAACAGCTAATCTAATATTATTATTCCCGTCCCTTTGCAGCCAATTAAAAAAAATATTTTTTTTTTTCAATTTTAACATTTTTTATAAGGGGTACCATCAGATATTTTGCAAAAAAAAATCAAAAATTAAAATGTTCTATTTTAAGTGCCAATCGATTGGGAATCTAAATACGAGCTTATCGAGGTATAACACTCCATATTTGGAATAATATTTACATTGTTTCGAGCAAAATACAGCATTCTTTTGGTAGAATTTGGAATTGTGTTTTTGCTAAAAATTGGACCATTGTCTTAGTAATATTTTGCTATTACTTGGCCAAACAATGTACCAAAGTATAAAATACGTCTTCACGGTTAATCCTAACTTTGTAGCTTTTATAGTTTTCGAGATCTCAGCGTTTATACGGACGGACGGACAGACGGACGGCTGACAAACGGATATTGCTATATCGACTCAACTAGTTTCTAAAAACTATATTTTATATCGATTTCTATCTTTGAATAAAATCTTTAATTTCTCCAACAGCTCCCACTGCCTCGGACCATCGCCGCACCAGCATGGGTGCCGCTCTGAAGTCCAACTTCGTGGTGTCGCAGAGCGACCTCTGGGACACGCACACGCTGTCGCACGCCAAGCAACGCCAGTCGCCGCGCAACTACGCCAGTCCGCAGCGCTGTGCGGAGCACCACGGCGGCCACGGGATGCCCTACGACCCCAACACCACCTCGCCCATCCAGCGGTCCGTCTCCGAGAAGAACCGCAACAAGCACCGGCCGAAGCCGCAGAAGGGCACCGTGTGCCAGAGCGAGACGGACAGCGAGCGGGAGCGGGATCCGCCGCCCAGCTGCCAGCCGTGCGTCCAGCCGCGCAAGGTCAGCCGGAGCTCCAATATCCAGCATGCCGCCCACCACCACAGTTCGCCGAATGTGGCGCCGGACAAGCAGCGGAGCAGGCAGCGCGGCAAGCAGGAGAGCAGCATCTACGGCGCCAGCAGCGAAACGGAACTGCTCGAGGGCGAGACGGCCATCCTGCCCATCTTCCGGAAACTCCTCACCGAGAAGAGCCCCAACTATCGGGGACGCAGTGCCGTCGGCCAGAGCTGTCCGAATATATCCATCAAATGCGATATCGTCGAGTACTTGTAGGCGGCGTGATAGGCGAGGGATATGCATTATGTAGTCGAACTCCTATTGTTAGATCCAGTTGCAGTGTAAAGATTACCCTTGTTTTTCCGCGTCATGCATCTACATACTATGTGGGGCAGGACACACACAACATTTAGAGAACTAGTAGCAATGACATGAGATAGTTGAGAAATAAATTACAATTTAAATTAATCATAACCCTCGCTGTGTTTTATTTTTACAGGAGGTGTAAAAAGTTTAGAAATTCTTAAGTCAGAGTTAAAATATGGAAAAATGGCTAAGGAAAATCTAGTAGGTTTTTTAATCTCCCGAGAAAAAAGAATTTGAATTAAAAATCACATATTTCACTGTGTACAAGCAGATACGGCAATTTTAATTTATTTTAATGTGCAAATGTTAATGAAAGTTATTCTGAAAGGGGATCTATTGCAGAGCGATACGCCGGAAATGATTGTTGAGGGGACCTTCATCCGAGTAGCCGGCTATTTCCTGCGGTATGATGCCCGACTCCTCGATTGAGGTGCATGGCCGGCACATGCACTCCAGCGGAGCCTTGGTCAGGACCTTCTTGAACTTCCGCTCGCCGGGCTTCACTTTGGGACAGAAGAGCGAGACGGCTGCCTCCCGTTCCCCAGATTCCTGGCAGCACATGCAGGAGCGTTCCATTTGCCAGATCTTACTGCCCGATACCTACAATTTTCAAATTAAAAGGTTCATATATTTTATTATTATAATTCCAAATGGCAGAAAACCCACCTGAATATAACTGGCACAGCGACCCACACAGGCGAATGAGGGAATTGGCTTGGGCACACATCCGGGATACTGGAGCACATGAATGACGGGGGTCACCTGGCAATCGTCGCCGAGATGCGTAATATCTGGAACGGAAATAAGGGCCCTCAGAATCATTATAAAATCCTAAATAAAAATATAAACCCCTTACCATTATCGCTGGCGGCCACTGAACTATCCGCCTGGGCCGTGCAGAGTTTCAGGATGCTGACCAGGACGCAGTAGAGCAGGATCAGGACGAAGACCTTGTTGTTCTCGTGGCGGAGCAGGTGGCGCAGCATCTCGTCGGCCCGACTGCGAGTGTCCCTTTGGCTGGAATGGAAAGCGCCACTTGCAGCCGGGGGCCTTTTATAGACCGACTTGGCCAGAGGACGTGGCTATAATGGCTGTTCGACTGCGTGAATAATGGCCTAATAAAGCAAGCGCCATCCAAACCTTTTTGCCTAGTAATTGCGTACACGAAAAGGGCATTTCACCCGCAGCGCATGACCACGGCAATCTCTCTTTATTTCCCCACAACTTATTAGCTAATCAGAGCCAGGCCAACAACTGCCAACAACAGCACCATCATGGAAGTGGGTCCCTGGAAGGAGCCGGCATTTCTGTTGTCCAGATATTTCACCAAACCGGAAAGATACATCTCAGCCCAGTCTATGTTTTTCCTCACAGATTCCAAGGATTTAAAGAGGACCGCCGCCGATTCGCCGAATAACTGGTGGTTGCTGTCATAGAAGTCCTGGTACAACTGCTGCTGTTCCCGGGTGGTGAAGTACTCTGCCATATCGCTGATCACCTCTGCCGTATCCGGCCAACTTTGGAAGCTAGAATTTATAAAATTGATTAAAAGAAATTAGGAATATAGTTGAGTATGCCATTGGCTAAGAAATTGAGGCATTGAGGGGTTTACAGAGATTAAGAAAAATTCACATGGTTTTTATCACCACCTTAAAACTAACTAAGAAGGTTTATGTTTTAGGTTGCTACTTCTCTAAGTCACATAATAAATTTCAGTTGGTATACCATTAGATAAACATCATAATTTTCTTAAAAATACAGCAAGTAAAGTTCAACTTACTCGTAAGCCAATACCACGATGTTCTCGGTTATCATTTCGAAAATGGGCTGGACCAATTCAGGATTCTGCTCGTACATCCGGGCTATACCAATTTTCTTTTGCTCCACAGTCTCCGAACCCGAGATGATCAGCTTCTTGTAATGGGTTTCGTAGTCTGTAGTGCAGCTGGCTGCCGACCAGAGCAACTTCCTCTCGCTGGGACGAGTTTCTAGGTAATACCGACCCCACACCGTGGTGTATGAATTGAAATCGCTGCTGCTGGCTGCACAATAGAAGGTTTGCCTGTAGTCCGGCGATGGTTGTTCCGAGGATGTTACGAAATGGACGTTAACCTTGTTCCTGCAGCTGTCGACTCGGTATCTGCACAGCCACTTGACCAGCTTGTTCCGATTGGCCACCTCCAGCGGACCATCCTGGTCACTCCATTCCACTCCCAGTTTCTCAAACACAGACTTTGTGATGTCCGAGAGATACTTGCGGAAGTTGGGCAGCTGTTCTGGCGTCAATCGCTTTGCCACCACGTCCAAGTTTTCATATACGGCATACCAGGGTACGTAGTCCACCTCCTTACTCAGGTATTCCAGGAATTCAAAGACATATTCATAATCCACATATGCAATGCGCGCAAAGTTAAAGAGATCATCGATGAGTTGAGCACGATTCTCAACAGGTATTCCACTGTGATTCGATGCAGATAAAGCAACTCGAAGACCTTTCATCAAGGTGGCATCATAATAAACCCGCTGGTAGTTCGACTGTCTCAGGTTGATCAAAATCCAATCAATAGGTTCATCAAAACTTAGGACCTGTACGCTTGCGTTCTTGTGAATATACGTAGATGGTGTCAGGTTATAGAAATCGGGTGCCAGATTGGTGGTATAAGTTATTGGCACTGTGTACTTCAATCCAATACTGCTGCCATCCTGCCTGTCCAGCAGGAACCGTTCCTGAAGTATAGTGACTAGTGGGAATTTTCCATCCATTAGTCTTACTATCAGCAGGGGATAGCCCACCTGCTTAGTGTAATCGTCGAAAAATTGCTCCACATCCACTTCCTGAGTCTTGGGCCAGTTCTCATTGAGGTGGTAAAATAAATTTTCGGGTACAGTGTTGGCCAAGTGACTAAAAAGAGGAGGATTTAAAGATGGCTTTTGTAAATTTACAATATTATATGTCAACTTACTATTGCTTTAGATAATTCTGGATGGCCCTGTCAAAGTTTTGTGCCCCCATGATATTTCGCCACATCCTTAAGATGCAGGCACCTTTGGCATAGGCAATCCCGCTGAACTTGTAGGCAATCTCGGAGGGCGTTTGGATTTCCGACTCCAGACTCGTCATGGGCTGAGTGCTGTTCCGGGCATCCGTGGCAAAGATCAGTTGCATTTGTCGCACCACAAACTGCTCATCCAGGTGATACTCGGGATAGAGCTTAAAGAGATCAAGTTGTAGTCACATATTTATAGGTTCTAAGTTCCCGTTTCCACCTGGTGTGCCATGAAGTACTCGTAGTAGCGGGCAAAGGCTTCGTTTAGCCAGAAGTAGCTCCACCAGGAGAAGGTCACGCTGTCCCCGAACCACATGTGCGAGGTCTCATGGGCGATGATTCGAATGGCGAACTCCTTGTCCGACCAATCGTCGGAGTAACCAGCTTCCTGGATCAGGACGTCATCGCTGTAAGTCCACAATGAAATTAAATACAGTTGGAATGATTCTTTTTAATGTCATCTTTTAAATTAAAATGTAATATTATTCCTCACCTGTAGATGATGAGGCCCCAGTTTTCCATGCCGTTGTGTGGAAACCTGGGAGAACTTGCATATTGCAGTACCTCGTTTCCCAGCTCAGCATATGGAAGCTGGAACAATTTCCCGTAGGCTGGCAACACCTTTTGACCCACTTGGTAGCTGAACTCCGTGTTGTTGTAGAACTCCGGACGAGTCAGCACAGCGAAGTCGCTCACATTTCCACGGGCAGAATAACTGGCCACAATGAAAGCCAGCAGATATGTGGACATGACTGGGGTCTCCTCGAAGTGATCCACAAAGCGCTCATTGCTAAGTAGGAGAAAAAATCGTATTAAAAACTTTATAATAATCATTAAAAAAATGTTTTTTAGCTCAAAATTATAATCAAGGTATGAGCTTTCCCACTTCTAGCCATTTTAAAAAGAAATTACGTTTTCATGCATCATATAATATTATTTTCAAATATTTTTAACATTTAAGAGACCATTAATTGGTTTTTGGATGAATAGAAAATGTTGGCTTTAGTAAACCTAAAAGCTTGTGAATTATATTGTATTTTTCTCTACAAGGTATACAAAATATAAAAATACCTTATCGCTGTGGTTTCCCTGAGCTTCGTATTGCCAATTGACTGATAGCCGTTGGGCCGGACAATCTGCAGCTGAAACTTGGCCTTCATGGCGGGCTCATCGAAGCAGGGCAGGACGAGCCGGGCGTTGATGCGTTGCATCTGGGTGACGGCCATCCATTTGGTCACGTTGGTGACCTGCTCCACATAGCTGGCGGAGAAGAGGCCGGCCATGTCCGTCCGTATGCGACCGGTGTACTTGAACCCCAGCGTATAATCTTTGCCTGGTTGCACCGCCTGCGTCAGCGGAACTTTCACCTGTTGGGTGGCGGCCTCATAAATCAGCCGGCTGATATCGATGGCCTCCACCTGAGCGCCGGCCGCATCGAGCAGCCAGCATTCCGAAATGTCAAGTGTATCGGCGTGCAGAATGATTTGTGGCACCTCCGACGGACCGACCACCCGCAGCGTTATGCTCACCTCGCCATCGAATCGAGTGGGCTCGGCTGAGTCTCTCAGAACGCCGATGGTTAGGTTGTAGTACGAAGGCACGACACTTCCGTCCAGCCGATAATCAGCGCCATTTACGACGCAGATCAGTAGCAAATATAGAAGCCCCGAGACCCGAGATGACGAACTGCTCATGCTGACCGAAGCTTGAAAACTGGGGAGTAAAATTCACTCTGCGAGAACGCCGAAATCACAATATCAAATAAAAGTTCCCCGCCAAACAGGTGTCGTTCACAGATGATTAGATTATGGAATGTTCAACAACAACAACAGTTCGAATAGATGTCTCACTTCTCTCACTTAAATATTCTTATCAATACGCGATCGGGTACTCATTAACCTGCTAAATTATGTGTCAATTATAATTTTAATTGGCCACAAACTCTTGTTTAATGGCTTAGTATGTTAGAATATTTAAAATATTGCTTTAATAATACTAACTAAATTAGGAGATCTGTTTCAAAAAAAATATGAAAGTTATAATTTTAATCAATATTTAATCAATCAATTAGTCATCCCATTATGATTAACTATTAAAAGACCAGAAGTTAAAAAATCCCCAACTCCATCCATTCATCAATAAAGTGGAAAGTCCAACAAGGACTTTATTGCTAAAATCGATAAGATGTGATAAGAACTATATTTCCGATTATGTTCCCCGAAAAATGAATCAACCGTAAAATGGTCAGATCTATTATTTTTTGGAAAAGTCATAAAGGATCTGCGATAAGTTAACAACAGAGGTAATAATTTATTAGTCGAATCGGTTAATTTGTGATGTCAGCTTAAACGTCATTTCAGACATTTTTAAATACAAGAAAAAACACTTGAAAAAATCGGAGGGGAATTTAAGTTTCCGGAAATTATGCTCACAATACTTTTGTGAAACCATTTATAGTTTATGGATATTCCAACTAATTCTTATAAGTGGACCATCAAATTAAAAATAATATCCAGCTAAATCTTAAAAAAGTTATACATTTTCGATCTTGCGATCGGCTTACAGTCCTATAAAGATAGCTCCACTTAGGGCCAAACTTTTATTGATTTATTAATCCAACTGCTTTCGATTTAGCGCCAATTCCATACAATAAATCATCAATAAAACATTGGATGGAAAAATCTATTTTATCGTTCGCAATTCCTGCTAAAACGTTGAGTAAGACGAATAGTTTATGCCCCTGATACGAGTTTATGGCTTTACGATGATCGATTGATTAGGCCACAGGCACTTTAGTTCAATGAAATCCCCTCAAGATTGCAAACTGAATCATCCGCACACGATGGCGCTAATCAGATTGTAAACTTTGTCGCCAGGGAGGCCATTTAAGCCTAGTGTATGAGCGATTTGGCCAGCAATACCAGCAATAATAATAATATACGACGGCGGTTTATCTACAAAATGGTGTTACTTTATTGGGTGCTCTAAGCGTACAAATACTTTAGGCGTTTAGGGGTGCTCGTGACCCTCGATTGCACCTGTCCCTCTATGGAGAGTGTCTAGGCCTAATTGCGCATCATGGTGACCAAAGCCACCAGCAGAAGGCTGAGGGCACTGAAGGCATTGACCATGGCGCTGCCATTGCGATAGTTGGCCAGATAGCTGCGGAAGACGCCCAGCTTGGCGGCGGCCCAGTCCAGATTCTCCTTCACGGTGGCCTCGGCGGCGGTCAAGGTGGCCTGCGAGGTGCCGAACTTGGCGCCGTTGTTCTTGTTGAAGGTCTCCAGGTCGGTCAACTGCTGCTGGGTGGTGAAACGGGCGGCGATGTTGGAGATCACAGTGGCCACTGCGGAGTAACCACCCATGCTGCAAGGAACATCAAAAAAATATATTAATCAAATAAGTAAAGAGTAGCAAATAGTAGACTACTTACGCCTCGGCCAGAGCCTCGTATTTCTGGGTCACCAGGGCGAACACCGGGCTCACGTTCTCGTTGTTCTCCGTGTAGAGAGTGGCCAGAACGGAGGACTTGTCCTGCCGGCGGATCTCGTCGCTGATGATCAGGTCGAAGACCTTCTCGATCAGAGCCTGGGTCTTCACGCAGCCGAAGGAGTTCTGCAGCAGGGTCTCCTCGGTGGCCACGGTCTCGTTCTTGAACTTGTTGTACAACGCCTGGAACTCGGTCTCCCCACCCTCGCGCAGACCCACACAGTAGACGGTGGCGCGAATGTTCTTGGGCACGGTGGTCAGCGATGCGAAGTAGCCCTTGGCCTTGCTGATGCAGTCGGAGCTGCCGTAGCGACAGGCCCAGGAGAGGACCTTGGTGCGCAGATAGATCTGCAGGGCAGTGTCACTGGTGGTCTCATTGAAGCCCAGCTCAGTGTAGGCCTTGTTGGTCAGAGCTTGGATGTAGGTGTTAAAGTCGGCGGTATCGTTGCCCAGGCGGATGGTCAGGTAGTTGAAGCCGTTGAAGGCCGACGTCCAGGGAATGTAGTTGGTCTCCGTCTCCAGGTACTCGATCACGTCCAGAGTCAGGTTGTAGGTGACCACGCCGGCCCTGGCCAGATTGAACAGATCGTCGACAATCTGGGCGCGGTTGTTCTCGTGAATGCCTCCCCAGTTGGCGGTGTTCAGCACCTGGTGAATGGCATGCCAGTTGTCCTCATTGTAGTTGACACGGTAGTAGCCAGTCTCCTGGATATTGGCGATAAACCACTTGAAAGGCGAGGCGAAGCCCACAGTTGTGGTTACGCCGGGATTGAGGATGAACTTGGGCGTGGCATTGGCAAAGTTAATCGCCTCACTGGTGGTATAGGAAATGGGCACAGTGTACCTCAGAGTGGCATCGGAGCCGTCGTTTTCCTTCAGCAGGAATCGTTTTTGGGTAAAGGTGACCGAACTCAAATTGGAGTGGACGGAGACAGTGATCAGCGGGTAGCCCACCTGCTCGGTGTAGCTCTTGAAAATGGCCTCAGAGCTGGAGTTGTAGCTGGTATTGGGCCACTTGGCCTGCCATTCTCCCAGCAGATATTCGGGCAGCGAGGGCTTATACTCGCTATAAGAAAAGGTTCCCTTACTCAAGGTTCTAGGAATTGAATTTCCCTCTCAAATACTTACTATTTCTTGAGGTACGCCTGCAGGGCCGCTTGGAACTGCGTCTCGCCCATGGTGTGCTTGATCATCCGGATGAAGGTGGCTCCCTTGTTGTACGAGATGCTGTTGAACATGCGGCTCAAGTGGGCCGGAGTGTAGGTGTTCTCATCGCTCAGCGGATTGGTGGCATTGGTCGAGTCCATGGCCATGACGGACTGCACCTGATCGACCACAAACTGCTTCTCCAGCTCCCACTGGTCCTCGACCATGGCGGTGCCGAAGTACTGGAAGTAGCGGGCGAATCCCTCGTTCAGCCACGTGTAGCTCCACCACTGGCAGGTGACCAGATCGCCGAACCACATGTGCGCCTGTTCGTGGGCCACCACGGCGGCGATGGCCTGGCGGGAGGCCAAAGTGGTCGCCGAATCGTCCACCAGAAGGCTGCGCTCCCTGTAGGTCAGCAGGCCCCAGTTCTCCATGGCTCCGGCCGAGAAGTCGGGAATGGCCGCCATGTCCATCTTGTCGTTGCCCATGCTGTAGTAGTCCTTGTCCAGGTAAGTGCCCATCTCCTTCAGGATCTGGATACCCACGTTGTAGGGATACTGGGTCTGTGCGTAATACTCGGGACGGGCATACACGCCGAAGTCGTCGTCCTTGCGGGCAACAAACTCGGAAATAATAAAGGCCAGCAGATAGGTGGACATTTTAGGAGTGGTCTTGTAGACATCGGTGAAGTAGCCTCTTAAAATGGGAGAAAAAAATAAATAACGAGAATTAGATAATGTCTTTTTAAAATACAAATCATTTAAGTAATTTTTGAATTTAATATAAATTCTACATAAATATTTGGCTGACTAAGGGCCGATTTCTAAATGCCATGTTAACATTTGTCATTGAGTTAAATGGCTTTTTTGGAAACATACAGTGACTCAGTTACTTATCTGAAATCACCTAACTAGAGGCATAGTTCTAGTTAAATTTGCCAGTCAACAATTTAAAACTGTGAACAATATGTTTGCCTAATCGTCTGTGTAATTCGTTAAATTAACATCACATTGAGAAATCGGATTATTTTTGTCAAACTTTGAGAACTTAACATTTTCAAAAACTAAATCCAAATTGTTGTATTAAATATCGTAGAATTTCTTACTCCTCAGTGCTGGGTGTAGATGAGATCAGACGGGTGTTACTGGCCGAGTTGTAGGTCCTGTAGCGCTTCAGCGTGACATTGAAGGTGGCCTTGAACTGGGGCTCATCGAAGCTGGGAAAAGCACGACGGGCATGGTTGGTCTGGAACTGGGTGGAGCCGATCCACTTGGTGACATTGTTGTCGTCCACATAGGAGCTGCGATAGAAGCCATGCATGTCGTCCAACATCAGACCAGTGTACACGAAATGGAGGATATATGGCGTATTAGCAACCAAGTTGGCTGCCGTCGTCAGCTGGACAATATCCGTATCATCGTTGGTTGAGTTAACTGCATTAAACTGAGTGGGCAGCGGATTGGCCACACCTTGTTCTGGCTTCAGCCAGTACTCGCTGACCGAATAGGTGAGATTTTTCGAGTGCAGGTGCACGGCATTGGTGGACTGGTTGGCCTGAACTTCGATCCAAACCTCGCCGTCGAAGGTGAACCTCTTGTTGCCATCGGTTTCCAGCAAATAGGGCCTCAGGGTGATGTTGTAGCTAACGGGCTTGATGTGATCGGCCAGACGATAATCCTTCAGCTCGGTGGCAAAGGTTGCCGGCGGCTGGACATCCACAGCTAGTTGCCGAGTTCCTGCCGAAGCCAAGGACACGCAAGCTGCCAGGAGCAGAGCCACTCGCAGGGCGAACATGTTTACTATTGGTTGAAATATAAGAACAAATTATTTTTAAGTACAAAATTTAAATATGAAAAAAATAGAAAAGAATTTATATCTTGAAAAAAGAGCAAAATGGTAATATCAACATCTTTTACTGTTCCTTAAGCAGGCTTCTAATATAAACTAATGGCACTATATTTTATCTTAAATTCATTTTTAGTAATATAAGTATTATTGTAAGTTTTTTTATTATCTCACTATTTTTAACTATTACGCTTAAGGACGTAATTCAAAGTCAATTTATTTTTCAAATTCCTAAGGATATTTTTGTTCGATCTGCGCAATTGTAGTACCAATTTCACCAGAACAATCCACACTTATATAACCACTGAAAACTCACTTTGCAAGGGTTCGATCGCGGACCCGGGACTAGAATTAGTATTTCGCACGCCACTCGGCACGCGATTCGATTCGAAAACTAAATGCCGCCTGGCTTCGGGGCCGGTATATATGGCGAGTGTAAAGCGCTTTTCGACTTGGCCATTATCAGCGGTTTATCTGCAGCCTTTACCGTTTTATTTTGGCCCAGATAAAGTTGGCCTGGTCTATAGATTAAGCGGCGATAGCGATAAGGAGTCATAGCGGTGATTTACACATTTCGCCATTGGCTACCAATCCACTCCGACGTTTTTCGAATATTGCCAGACGATGGCATAACATTTCATTTTCGCTGCACTGCTTGTTTGAGGACGCCTTGGCACTTTATGGTGCACTGCCTCCAATCTTATCGAGCATGATTTGCAGTCTTTCGAGGAGGAGTAGACACTAGCCGGCCGTTGTCTTTGCAATCATGGTGAATTTACAATCCAATTTTGAACAGAGATCGAAAATAACTGTGATGTTTGTTGTTCCTTAAATGTAGCACAAGAAAGAGTCCTGCAAAAAGTTGAAATAAACCAATATGTTTGTTAGCGATTGTAGTTATAATTAAATAGGTAGTAACTGCACCTATTGTATTATTTCACTTGATTCGCCCACTTAAGCTTTTAGTTTTTTTACTATTTTAGTTTTTATTTTATTTATTTATACTCTGGTTTTGCCACATTTACAAACCAATATTTACAATTAAATCATCAATTTAAATATTGTTTAATATTTATATAAATTAAAGCACAATGATAATTGTGTTTTATCAGCATCTTGTTAGTTTCCTTTCCTTCGATTTTACCTTGTATTTGGGTGGATTAATGAAAACTATCGCAAAGTGGCTTGTCAAAACTTAACGACAATCTGTTATCTATATTGCAGTCTTTTAGGAACTTTTTCCTGTTATGAAGCACTTGAAGAATGTTGATTGATGAGGGCCCAAAGCAAATCAGAAATCGAAAGCAAGTTCTTATTTATGGTGTAGAGTAAAATAAAAATGTTAAAAAATAAGTAAACTTCTTACACTTTACTTAATAATAATACCAATAACAAATAAAATCTTTCGTTCTATCTTTCGCAACTGCAACTGATAAAGCCACTAATCTTTTTCCCCAAACTAATATATTAGATTCGCTTTTATGCGAATGGATTTTGATTTCTTTGTTAACTCTTCAAAAACTACAGGTTGGAATTTGGAAATCCCTCGCTTGTGGATTTAGTTGCCAAGGCCGATTAAGCATGTATTTATGGCCTTCTTGTGGGCATAAGAACTCCGCTTTTCAAGGTCTGGGAGGAGGAAATTTATGAGATCACCCCCCGCTTATCTGACCACATCGATCAGGCGATGGCAATTCACGGCCATAAAGCGTTGAAGGGAACTGTAAATTCTTCCGCAAACAAACAAGAGTTTTAGGGAATTAATGGAATTTATTGCGGCACAAGTGCAAATCTATGACTAACTTAGGATCTTAGGATCTAACTTAGAACAGCTTGGCGGCCAGGAGGCAGGCGAGGATGGCCAAGAGGGAGGCGTTCAGGGCGGAGCTGCCGCTGCGGAAGCCGTTCACCCAGGACATCAGAGGCTCCCTGTTGGTGGTCAGCCAGGCGTAGTTGGCATTCACATTGGCATCCACGCTAGCCTGCAGCGTGGTGGGCACGTACTCGGATCCCTTGACGGTGTCCACCAGCTTCTGCAGCGCCTCCTTCTGCTTGTCGTTGACCGTGTAGGCGGAAATGCCGACGATGTCGCTGTACAGGGGATTGACTCCGCCGAAACCGGTGTTCAGCTGGGCGTACTGCTCCCAGTTGTTCTGCAGGAACTCGACGGCGGCCAGCAGACCGATCTCGCCACGCGAATAGGCCGGGCTCAGCAGGGTGATCCTCTCCTGGACCCTCAGGCCGTTGCTGTCATCGATGCTGCTGGACACGAACTTCTCCAGCTGCGAGGAGCTCTGGGAGCATCCAAGCGCAGAGATCAGCAGACGACGCTCGGCCTGGTCGGTGGAGCTCATCAGCTTGTCGTAGACAAAGTCAAAGATCTTGTCGTCGGCCTGCTTCAGGCCATTGCAGTAAACCTGCGACTGCAGATTGGGCTCGATCACGGTGCCCTCCTCCACCATAGCGGTCAGCTTGGCCTTGGTCTCCGTCAGGCAGTTCTCCACACCCGCCAGGCAGGCAATGTTGACCAGCAGGTTGCGGGTGAACTTCACCAGATGCTGCTCGCCGTTCAGATCGTTCACACCGAACTTGTCGTACTGCAGGCTCACCAATTCCCTCACGTAGAACTGGAAGTTGGCGTAGTCGGCATCGCCGCTCAGGTAGCGATTGAACAGGGTGATCACGGTGTTGGCCGCCGACCAGGGGGAGTACTGATCCTCCTGGGGCAGGTAGGTCAGCAGCTCCAGCAGAGTGGCATGGGGCACACGTCCGCTGGTGGCGAAGCGGTACAGATCGTTGATCAACTGGGCTCGGTTCCGGGGATCGATCTTGTGCGGACGGACGAGCAGGCCATTGGTGATCAGCTGCCAGTTGGCGGCGTCGTAGAGAATGCGGAAGTAGCCGGTGGACTTCTTGTTCAGAATCAGCCAGTTGCTCTGGTCCAAACCCGCATCGATGGTGATCTCCGACTGGTTGAGCAGATAGTGGGTGGCCTCGGTGTTGCGGAAATCGGGATTCGAGTGATCGGCATAGTTGATCGGCACGTACCACAACTTGTCGCTGGTGTAGTCCTTGTCATTGGTGTACACCGACTGCTTGACGGTGAAGCTGCCGTTATCGTAGTTACGGGTCACGGTCAACAGGGGAACTCCGCCCTGGTTGGTCCAGCTGCCCATCATGTTGGCCACGGTGGCGGGCACGGCGTAGTTCTCCTCAACGGCGGCCTTGGCAATGGCCTCGAACAGCTTGGTGGGATTGGCAGCAGTGAATTGGCTGGGTGGGGATGGAGAATTACGGATTAAAAAAGTTATCATAGGCTGCATTTAATAGAGCTTGAAAAATATCGAAATTATCGATGTTTTCGATTTTTTTCAAACATTTGTGTTTTTCTGGTTTTATTATAACCACATCCAAGAAAACGTAGATCGTTTTTACATTATTTAAGATCAATTTTAATTTGATATGCGGCCAGGTAAATTTGACCTGGTCGAAAAGAGTATTTCATGTAAAAACGATATGAGTTTTGCATGACCTTCAATTTATATGACCATATCGTTTTTACGGGAACATGTTTTTTTTGTGCAACATTATAATCATTTTGGTAAGATGTAGTTATTTTTTCCTATAAACATCGGTATTATGGATACTTACTTGTCGGTCAGGTAGTTGTGCAGACCACGCTGGAAGACGGTGTTGGTCAGGGCGTGGCGCCACATGTCCAAAACAGAACCGGCCTTGGCATACGAAACGGAGTCGTACAGCAGGGCAATCTCCGAGGGCTTCTGGACGAAGTAGCTCATGGGCCGAGCAGTGGCGCTGGCATCATAGACCAGAGCACTCTGGTAGGAACCGGCATGGAAGGTCTGGAAAATGTCCCACTCGGGATAGGCCTACAAACCACACGTTGAATTAGATACGGAATCATTGGAAACTCTTCATAAAAACCTACCAGATCCACAGCCAGATTCTCGAACAGGGTGGCGAAACCCTCCTTGAGCCACAGATAGCTCCACCATTCGATGGCCACCAGATCTCCGAACCACATGTGCGCATCCTCGTGCGCCTCGATGGTGGCAATGTTGGTCTGGGTGCTGATGGTCGAGTTCACCGGGTTGTACAGCAGGTACTCCTCGCGGTAGGTGGCCAGGCCCCAGTTCTCCATGGCGCCGGCGGCAAAGTCGGGAATGCCAGCCTGATCCAGCTTGGGCAGGGCGAAGGGAACGTCAAAGTAGCCCGACAGGCGCTTCTCCACCAGCATTCCGGTGGTCAGGGCCCACTCCTGGTCGTTCTCGGTTCCCTTGCGGGAGAAGACGCGCTGCGGCAGGCCATTCAGCTCACCCTCCGAGAAGACAAACTCGGAGACGATGAAGGCCACCAGGTAGGAGGGCATGTTCACGGTCTTCTGGAAGGCGGTAACTCCAGAGCTGAAATGGGAAATATAATGTTATTAATAAATCATATATTAGGTATTTTTCTAAAATGTATTTATAACTTCTTTGAACCTCATTTCAAGATAATAAATTGTTCTAGATTTAAAAAATAGTACATCAATAAATATTTACTCCGCAAAAGAAATTAAAAATGTTTTAAAATCTAGAACACCTTAAAATAATATACAGGAATAATATTAATTTTTGTTTTGGATGTACGTAAACTTTACAATATTTATGCTTCCTTTAACTGGCAGCCATTTAAAGTCCTATTTATAATAGGTTTATTGACTGATATCTTAGTTTTGTTTTTCTTATCATTATGTCAAAGTAGCGGTTGTATAATTTTGTGTGCTTAACCAGTGATAATTATGTAACCGACCCATAAGTTCCCATAAAACCTTACTTAATAAGCAAGCAATGATTGGAAATGTAATTTAGATTAACGATAGATTACCAACCTGGAGGCAGCCTCATTCACGGGCATGTTGCTGATAGCATTGTAGCTGGGATCGTGCTTGATGGTGATGGTGAACTCGGCCCTCTTCGAGGGTTCATCGTAGCAGGGGAAGGCGTGGCGGGCGTCGGTGCTCTCGAACTGGGTGGTGGCCAGGTACTTGGTGTTGCCCTCCTCGTCCGTGAAGGTGGACAGGTAGAAGCCTCCGTTGTCCGTGCGCAGGTGTCCCTGATAGTTGATCGTCAGGATCCACGTGGTGCCTTCGGCGAAAGTGAGTCCTGTCTTGCTGAAGGTGAGGAACTCGCGCTCCGCCTCGTATTCGAAGGTCAGTTCCTGGGCCACGGCTTCCGTCACTCCCTGCTGGATAATGCTGGCCGTATAGTTCTCCAGTTGGCGGGCATGAACCACAATTTTGGTGGTTGCCTCGACAACGCTTAGGGTGATCGCAACGGTGCCATTGAAAACAGTGTCGCCGGTGTGCACATTGGTGCTCAAGGACACGGCATAGTGGCTGGGGATCGTCTCGTTGGGCAGGCGGTAGTTATCCTCGTCGGCGAAGGGCACCACTGCGCGCTGGTTGGGATTCTCCAGGCTCTGCAGCTGCTCGAAGGGCGGGAAAGAGCGCACCACCGCCGCCTGGGTGGCGGAAATGGCCAGCAGGAGCACCACAAGTAGGGACATGCCCCCGATCTGAACGCGAACCATGGCGAAAACGCGGCTAGACTAAAGTGCCCAACTCCGAGCAGCCACTTTTAAGCGAAGCCGTTCATCTTATCTGTGGCCCAGGCATAAAGATTACTGCAATCTTGTCGCTTAGAATGACCATTACCCAGTTATGTAGTATAAACTAAATTGAGTAGTAAATCAAGTATTCTACTACCCCTTTGAAACCCATGAATTGGTATTTTCTGTATGGTTGGTAACAATCACGTCTGAGATAATGGCGAATAAGTGTGAACATTCGAAGATAGACAGCTGATAAAGGTCTCAAGTGGATGGACTGCCCTTGATCTGATAAACTTGACTTTTATAGAATCTAAGATTCTCCTCTCTCTCGTCTAAAAACTATTCTACATTCATGTCAATTTAATTAATGAGTTCCAGATTCTTATCAAATAGTGAAAACAGCTATTAATGTCGGAGAGTAAAAGAATCTAAAGCACTTTCATTAAAACTTTCAGCATACTTATCAGACCTGCTGATATGACGGTTAAATAAACACGCCTAGTTACCTTCTAGTATAACCGACTCTTCAACTTTTTTGCTCTTGAGATAAAGACTAGACCGTTAATCCGCAGGGCATTACTAAGCAAATTGTCCAATACTATGTAACAGTAGATTAATTCCCGGAACCACGACAATAAATTTACCTATTGGCTAAGAATAAAAATTAATGTGGCCCAAAATTAGTTCTGAGAGTCCCTCCCACAGCAAAGTCCTGGAACCGCCAATGTATAGATAACTAAAGTAAACCGGTAGTACGACATTTTAAAAATTGTATTGAACTGTTCTTACAGTTTTTATTTTATATAATAATTAATTATCCTGAAATGTACTTTTGAGTAAGATCCATTTTAAAATGATTAAAATGAGAACACTCAATTTTCCTGGGTTCTTTTGAAGGGCAGTCACACCCTCGCAAGGTCAAGCTGGATTAGGTAAACCCCCATCAATTGATTGCAATGCCAGTGGAACTACCTCTTTGTTCTTGAATGTTCCAGATCTCTATCTGATACGGGCACGTGAACTCCATAAACCACTTCGAGCATTGTAAATATCCACTTGATAATCGAATTTCGTCCTAAGCCCCAACTATCAGTGCCTTATCGACAGCCCGGCAATTCCCATTCCCAGAACCGCGATAAGATTGACCAATGCGAAGTGTGGCAACCGAGCCATAAACCGATCAATTCCCAATCCCATCCAGGGAACTTTGAACTTCCCCCACCAGGGGAATCCATCGGTCCAAATTCACCACATCTTTATCAATTCTATTTCGGCTTCGATTAACAAACACATTCATTAATGTTGATTCATGTTACTTTACTGAATTTATGATTAATACTTGACCACATGACTTAGCCTAAAATAGCCAGAAAAGCAGCAGAGCCATCGCACTGACCAGGATCGTGGAGATGGAGGCAGTCAAAGTGGGACTGCCGTTCTCCCTGAAGGAGTCGGCGATCCAGTTGAGCACAGGATCACGGTGGACATCCAACCAAGCGAAGTTGGCGGTAATTCTGGAGTCAATGGTGGTGCTCAGATCATCGTTGAGATAGGTAGGGCCATCCGCCTGCACAACTGCCACCAAAGCGTTGAGCTGTTTAAATGAATGATTAGTTTTCCATGTTTCTTTTTAAGTAGTTATTAAAGAAAACCCACCCTTGTCTTCTGCTTCTCGCTGACCACATAGGTGGCAATGCCACGCAGGGCGGTGTCCAGGGGCTTTGAAGATTCCGACAACTTGGCATAGTTCTCCCAGTTGGTCTCCAGGAAGTCCAAACTGGCTGTGAGACCGATTTCGCTGCGGGAATAGGCCGAGTTGAGCAGGGAAGTGCGCTCCGAGTAGCTCAGACTGTTGGTGGTGTCCAGGGAGAGCCTCAAGAAGTCCAGCAGCTGGCTGTTCTGTCCCGAGCAGCCCAACGAGGAGATGAACAGACTGCGATCGGTGGAATCGGAGGAGGCCAGAAGATCCGACTGCACCCGACTATACACCTCATTGCTGGTGGATCGCAGACCGGCGCAGTAGGCTTGAGTCCTCAGTGTGGCCTCGATAGCAGTGCCGTTGTACAGGTACTCGGAGAGCTTCTTGGCTGACTTGCTGTAGCAGTCAGAGGAGCCCACCTGGCAGGACAGGCTGACCAGGACGATGCGCAGATAGTTGTTCAGGTAATGCTCGCCGGGAATCTCGTTCACTCCTATCTTCTCGAAGATGGGATCGATCAGTCGCTGCACGAACGCCTGGAAGTTGTAGTAGGCATCATCGCCACGCAGGTAACGATCGTAGACGGTCAGAATGGTGTTGGCCGTGGACCACGGAGCGTACTGCTCCTCCTTCTCCAGATAGCTGAGCAAGTTCAGCAGGAGGCTGTGGCTCAAACGACCGGTGTTCACAAAGATGTACGTATCGTACAGCAGCTGAGCCCTGTTGCGCACATGGATCTTCCAGGTCTGAGACTTCAGAACGGCAGCCAGAAGTTCATAGTTCTGCTCATCGTAAATGGTACGAAAGTAGCCATGGTTTTGCAGGTTGGCGAGCAGCCAGGAATCGCTGGCCACCTGAACATCCGAGATCACGGTCTCAGTCACATTCAGTAAATAATGCGTGGCACTCGTGTTGCGATAGTCGGAATTGGAGGCCGTGGCAAAGTTGACGGGCACATACCAGGTGGCCACATTCGCATCATCCTTGTCCGCCACATAGCGTTTCTGGGTGATCGTGAAGGTGCCAGTCTCGTAGTTACGGGTCACGGTGAGCAGGGGATAGCCGGCCTGGTGGGACCAGCTGCTGAAGATGTTGTCCACCGAGGTGGGCAGCACAAGGCCCAACTCATTGGCCGACTCCTGGAAGGAGGCAAACAGGTCCCACTCGTCGCAGGAGGTGTACTTACTGTATTAAATTGAAGAAAAATAATTAGAAAATGGGAATATTAAAATGTAGAAAAAGTTCACTCGGACTTTTAAATACAATTATATACAAATTAATTAAATCTGTAGAGGATCTTTAGATTTAAATTAAATCTGTAGAGGATCTTTAGGTTTATATTTTATTTTTTAAATAATATGGAAATTATAGTCCAGGCAGTCTGCTAAAGTTTCCTAAAATACTCCTGTTAACTATTGATACTTCCCTTGTATAAGGTCTAAAAAGTATGCTATAGAAATCTACTATTATAAAATATTTCGTTCTTAAACTGATTTCAAAAACTTTATAATTTTGTCATGGCATGATTTCTTACAGAATGTGTAACCTGTAATCAGTACTCACTTCTTGGTCAGGTACTTGTTCAATCCCGTGCGGAAGACCTTGTCCGACCAGGCGTTCTTGAACATGTAAAGAACGCTGGCGGGCTTGGCGTACGAGAAGGTGTTGTATCGGTTGGAGATCTCGTTGGGAGTCTGGACGTAGTGCGTCATGGGAACGGCGGAGGCCAGGGCATCGTTCAGCAGGGCGCTGTTGTAGTCGTTCACATGGTAGATCTGATAGGTGTCCCACTCGGGGAAGGCAATGTCGTTCGATTCGTACGAGAAGAGGGTGGCGAAGCCCTCCTTCAGCCACAGATAGGTCCACCATTTCACGGACACCAGATCGCCGAACCACATGTGCGCGTACTCGTGTCCAATGATGTTGGCAATGTTCGTCTTCAGGTTGATCGTCGAGTTCTCCTTGTTCCACCACATGTACTGCTCGCGGTAGGTGGCCAGTCCCCAGTTCTCCATGGCTCCGGCCGAGAAGTCCGGAATGCCGGCCTGGTCCAACTTGGGCAGGGCGAAGGGAACGCCAAAGTAGCCGGCCAGACTGGACTCCACCACCAATCCAGACCAAAGGGCCCACTCCTGCTGATCCTGCTTTCCCTTGCGGGAGAACACACGCTGGCGCAGGCCATTCAGTTCGCCGGTGGTGGACTCAAAATCGGACACGATGAAGGCCACCAGGTAGGTGGACATCTTAGGCGTCGTCTGGAAGACGGTGACTCCAGAACTAAAAGGGAAGAGCATTGAGAAATAAGAAGTTAATAGTGCAACATCTTGTGAAATGCACATAAAATATGTTGTTCATGGTCAACACTGCGTATGATTTATTTGAGAATTACTCCTTAAATATCTATAATACCAACCTGCTGGTAGTCTCATTCACTGGCATGTTGCTGATGGCAGTGTAGGAAGCATCGTGGTGGATGGTGATGGTAAAGTTGGCCCTTCGGGCGGGCTCATCATAACAGGGGAAGGCGTGACGGGCATTGGTGCTCTCAAACTGCGTGGTGGCCAGGAAGCTGTAGGAGAAATATATTATTAAATATAAATTTTCTGGTCAAAACGATGGTCACACTTTATTTATGGTGTCATGTCAAAGCAAGGAGATTATTAAGATAAGCTAAATTGAGTTCTTTGATAAGAAATTAGGCTAGCAGAAACTACCCAATCAAGTACAATCGGTATTAAAAGTTCGATAAGCACTTGCACGTCGGGTACATTCCTTCTTAATCCAATAAAAAGTGAGCCAAGTACAAATAGCTAAGAGCTCAAAATAGAGATATTTTTAAACGTTTTTCGAGAGGATAGGTTACCCATTTAAAGGAAACTTACTGCTGCTGGCCATCATCATCCGTATAGCTGGAGATATAGAATCCGCCCATGTCAGATCGGTGGGTGCCGTTGTACTTGATGCTTAGGGTCCAGTTGGTGTCGGCTGCGAAGATCTCACCGTTGGTCGCTGTGAAGACAAGGAATTCCCGCTGCAGTTCGGGGGTCACGGTAAGTGGAATGGCGGTGGGCGTGGCCACATCCCGACTGATAATCGAGGCCTCGAAATTCGACGTCTGGCGGTAGTGCAACGTTATATTCGGGGTCTGCTCCAGGACCCGCAGATTGATATCGACGGTTCCATTCCATTGGGTGTCTCCGGTGTGGACATTTGTCCAGAGTTCCACATTATAGGTTTCGGGTTCGGTGGTGTTCGGCAGTCGATAGTTGCCAGCACTATTGTCATCCACGCGGGGAGTGGCGAAGAGGGCGGCTCCCTTGGTCTCCAGCTGACCGTCGTCCAAGGACAACGAAGGGATCAGGCGCGCCTGCAGGCTGCCCACTGCCAGGAGCAGGAGGACACAGGAGTTCAGCAACCACCGTGCCATGTTGGCTGCTTGGTTAGTGAGGAGCCGCCGCTTGGACACGACTTATTTATGGACTTGGCCTTATCTTATCCTCATCGCCGATCGCCATAAAGATTGTTGCGCAATACTCGATAAAACCGGCAAATCGCCGGTTATTGGCCAAGAGTGCACTGGGCCAAGCCAATCGTGAAGTACAATTAAGTAGTAAACCGTTCAGATATCGGCTAGTCTGGGCGTTCTTAAAGGCTGTCAAGTCGGTGCTCAAAAATTGCAAGTTGTTTTGCCGATCTTATAGAAAGTAAACAAGTACCCAATTTGTGAGTACCCTTTCTAATCACCCTCAAAATTATTCAGTAGCCTGATGCTTATCAAAATTTGAGGTGATATCATTGTAGTACTTTATTATTAATCAAATTAGTATTCTAACTATTAGCCATCGGGTCTAAAAACAATTACGCAGTAAATTTTTAAATTATTGCCTCGTCTGGAACGCGTAAGAGTTTTAAGGTACCGAAAAAGTGCAAGTTGTCACGGCTATATAATCAAAACAGTTATAAATACTCGTGAAAAATGATTATAAGTGTTTATTTAATTGGCAAGTCATTTGGTGGAAATGCCCAAGGATATAAACTGATCAAAATAAAACTATAATTATTATTATTAAGGGCATTTAATACCATTTATAGTGGCAGCTCAAAGTTTAATTAATTAAAGCTTTATTAATAAATTATTATTATTTATTTTTTAATGTAATATAGAAGAATTTTTAAAATTTTTCTGATTTTATTATATAAAAAACAAAGTAAATGCGAAACAATGAAATTTTATAATTCCATTGAAAAGTGCGAAAATACTCTTTTTAAAGTTTGGCGTATAAAAATAGGCTATAGATCAGATGACTATTTATGGCCGATGAATTGCGTTTTATACCTGCTTATCAACTCCCCACAGAACCATATACCATATACAAACTAAGTTCACTTATCGGTTATTCGCAAAGTGGTGAAAAGCTCTAAACTGTTAATTGATTTTACTCGAGTGTGTTGTTTTATAGGAATTAATTTATTTGGTAAAAAGCTTGTACTTATGAAGTCTCTAGTAGAAACAAGAGCGATCACCGATCACCTATACATATCAACTATTTGTAACGCACTGCGCAACACCCTAGTTGCCTCCTTCAGCATTCCCTCTGGCCGGCTGGATCCATTGGCCGCACTGAGGGATGCGGCCAACAGGGCATCGCTTTTGCCGGACAGCTGAGGGATCTCGTCTAGCAGCCAGTTGTGGATCTGCTGCTCGAACTTGTCCTGGAAGTCTTCGCTGATCTTCACCTTCTTGCCCACCAGGGGCGAATCCGATTCGATCAGGCTTTGGCTGGGATAAAGACCCTCCGACTTTATGTGGTTTGCAATAGTCTGGCGCAGCCTCACAAACTAAAAGGAATTATAATAAATATTTGAGATGCCTTAATAAAATGTTATTTTCGACTCACTTGCATCCTCTGATGTCGGGGAACAAATCCGGCTAGCTGTTTAAAGTGTTCCAAGAAGTTGGGCGACCGGCAGAGCCGCCTGTAGTTGCGCTCGATGTACTGCCAGATGATCGGACGAGAGGCCAGATTCGATTTGTAGACATAAAGCAGATACATCATGTCCTCGGGTTCGGTCAGGATCAGATGGGTGGAATTCTCGCCCAGCAGGACTTCCAGGTAGTAGTTCAGGTGCCTATGACTCTGAGTGCACCGTAGTGCATAAATCAAGTCGTCGTAGTAAACCGACTCGCGATCTGCCTCCTGCAGCATATCTATTACCGTGTGAAAGTCCCGATCGCTAAGGTAACGAGCTCCCATGCACATGACAGTATCGTAGGTGGCAAAGTATTCAGATTCCGTTGTCAGGTTGATTTTATTGATGATATACTCCTTGGCCACGCGGCGTGTGTAGTCCAGGCACTCGGGAAGATCAGCTGAGCAGGCCATTTGAAGGATCCCATTGCTTGCATCCAGAGACGTGTTCAAACTCTGTTCCACGTAAACCCGCCGGAAAATCGGACTGACCAGGCGGCGCACGAACTCGTTGAAGAGGTTCTGTGAGGATGTTCCAAAAAGGTTCCTCGTCAAACACTCGATGGAATCTGCCACTTGGTACCACGTCAGCATGTCCTCCTCGAACTCAAGGTACTTTAGTATTTCGAACACCACGGCCACCTGTTCGATTTCGTTGTGCTCGATGAGGGGCTTTAGATCCCGGAAGAGACCGGCTCTATTTATGCGATGGATCACTGAGTGATTGGCCTGCAGCTGCCTGGCAATGGCCATCAGATTATCCGTATCGTAGTGAACGAGATAGAAGCCCGTCTCCTGTTTGTTCACCATAAGCCAATCCCTGCCGCTGAGATGGATATTCAGATCCTCCAGGGCCACCGAATACTGCGATTGGGGCGGCATGAATATCTCCGCTTGGGTGTCCTCGAAACCGGGCGACTGTGAGGTGGCAAAGTTGATTGGTATCCACCAGAGCTCGTCCTTGGAGTGCACCGATCGCTGTCTAAATGTGATGGTGTTGTTCTCGTAGTTCCGCGTGACCATCAAAATGGGCATCCATTCACTGTGCGTCCAGGAGAGCATGATGTCCCTTATGCGCGACGCCCATGACTTCTGGGAAAGGTACTCATCCTCCTGAATTTCCGTCTGGAGGGCATCGAAGAGGTTCAGCTCGTTGGCCACGCTATAATGACTGGGGCAAAAAGAGCAGAGGACCTTGACCCATGAATTCCAATTGACCAGTTCGAGGGGCCAGACTCGAAGACTTACTATTTCTCCAGAAAGTGACTGATGCCTCGCACGAAGAGCTTCTGCCGGAAGGCGTTGTGGAACATCTTGATCACGCAGGCGGCCCGCTTGTAGGAGATGATGTCGAAGACCTTCATGATATCCTTGTCACCCTCCACGTAGTAGGTCATCGGGCGGACATCAAAGAAGCTGTTGTAGCTGAAGGCACTGTCAGCCTCTTGGGAAATAAAGACGTCCATTATTTCGTACTCGGGGTAGAGCTATGAGATAAAAAAGAAGAATATTAATGGAACAATTATAAAATAAGAAACAGTATAATGGGTATAGTTAAAGCTGGTGTTAAGGTGAGATTAGGGGTGGGTTAAGGTAATGAAAAGGCGCTGTTTAGCTGCTTAACTATAGTAAAGTATAAAATATGTTTTCATGACCCACCAAATCAGTGATCACATAGCCGAAGTATGTTGCAAATCCCTCATTCATCCAAGTGTAGGTCCACCACTCCGGCGAGACCAAATTGCCAAACCACTGATGGGCGATCTCATGGTTCTGAGTAATCTTGTCCCAAATCGGATGGCGTTGATCCGTCGATCCGTTCATCAGCAAATTGGAGTCCTTGTAAGTGATGAGACCCCAGTTCTCCATGGCTGCTCCATAGTTCCTCTTTAGCGCCACGTGATCCAATTTTGGCAAGGGATAGGAAATGCCGAAATAATCCTCGAATGCCGCCACCGTCCTCACTGCATTCTTCAGGGCATGATGACCCTTTTTCTTGTAAATCGGCGGGGTGTAGATACTTTGAGTGACCCCTCGATAAGTCTCAGAGATGCTCTCGAAATCGGAGATGACAAAGGCCACAAGGTAGGTGGAAATTGGAGGGGTTGTATGAAACAAGGTGGTTTTTAATTCGCTATGAAGAAAGTTAGAGTTATTAGGGTTAGAATCTTGAGAAACTTTATTGTCTTACCCATGCGACAGTATTTCCTTGACTGGCATATTTGATATGGCCGAATGGCTGCTTCCGTGGGTTATCCTTATACTAATGTTTGACTTGAATCCCGGTTCATCGTAACAGGGAAAGATAAGACGTGCATATGTGGGCTCCGATTGCGTGGCGGCTACGTATCTGTAAGATTTTAATAGTTGGGACTTTCTCATTATAATCTATCTATAAGCACTAAAGAACTAAAGTACCAATTAAATCTGCTTCAAAGATAACCTCTTGTTGCCAACTGTAATTGACGTCTGCTGTCCGCCTATGAATAATAATTAAACGAAATCATTTCAGTTCAAAAATTCCCAGTCCCATTTTCAGATCAACGAACGCTAAACAAAAAACCAGTCACAGCCTGCGGCTGCCGGAATGATCAATCACTTAGAGAACCTGCTCTCACTTCCACGGAACAATCGGGTCTCGTTATTCCCAACCGAAAATCATGGGTCATGCGAATATGTTGCCCAACCGAAATGAAAACAAATCGCGGACTTGAGCGTAATGCAAATACTACCGACGATCGTTTTTGTTGTCATTTCACTATCTACCGGCCACTGATAAGGTGCGACTCCTAATTGGTGACACAGTCATTCCCCTTTATAAAGAATCCCCCCATTGAGAAGTCACAATGTTTACATCGTCACCCTGGTGACGCGCCCGGATCAACCGATTCCGCCATATGCGATGAGCATGTACCATATATTTGTATATATATATATACATTTGATAGCGATAAAGTCCGAGGGAAGTGTCTACGCCAGCAAAAGTAATTAAAAGGCAATGCCAAACAAATGGAAATAATAACAAAATAAAAGTGAGAGCGCAGGCCGAGTGAAGTGACCAAAACAAAGTGCACACCGAATCTATCTCCGGGTTATGTAAGAGCAGCTTACTTTTAATCTGAATGAGCGCGTGCCTGCCAGTGGGTATTTCCTCAAGAGAAATAAAGTACTTTTTATGGATATCATATCCAGCTTACCCCACAGACTATCGTGATTTATGATAAGCAGTAGCCCCGTTGTCATAAAAAAGAAAGATAGCCGAAATAAAAAGAGATCGTAATGAAACTTTTCTAAATTTAACTACTAGAATTAGCTCGAGGTTTTTGGGTTTTTACACCTATGAGGCACTGTTGCCACCAAAGATAAACTACTCACGAGGTGCGGTTGGTCTCCTCATCCCTATAATCCATGTAGTAAAGACCCGCGGGGCGCGACGTCATGGTGGCCGTGTAGAGGATCTCCAGGCGATATTGCTGGCCCTCCTCGAAGGCCGCGTAATTCTCCCTGGGATGGATGATGAGAAAAGCCCCCGCGTGATGGAGCGTGTGTGTCAGGTCGTCAACGATCTCGGATCCTACGTCCGTCAACTGGCGGACAGTAATCTGAATATCGGACAGGTTCTTGGCGTGCAGCACTATCTCGTTCGTCGACTGCCGAATGGCTACGTCAATGGTGGCATTTCCGCTGAAGAGCAGCGTGCCCTTGTGAATATCGCTGGAGATGTGCAGCTGGTAAAACAGCGGATAGGTTTCGTTGGGCAGTCGCAGGGAACGCTCCCTGCGCTGGGGTTCCGCCAGAGATCCGCCGACCACCAGGGCCAGGGTCACCAGAAAAGCACCCGAAACCGCCACTCCAGACAGCGGCGTGATCATGGTGATACGAATAACGCGCACCGAATCGAATCGAATCGAAAAACTGTATCTGTTCGCGCCCTGGCAACCGCAACTCGACTGAGCGGCGGCAACGGGCACCCCGGTGGTTATAGCTAAAGCCCCAGCAGTCCCAGGCCCAGATAAGATAAGCGGGACGGCTGATCGATGGGCACTCGTATAAGAGAATAAGAGCAGGCAAACAACTCGATTCGGTTTCGGTTGGAGTGAGTCGGCCACTCGAGGGAGCGTCATTGAGCAGGTCACGGTGCGGTCCTTGGCACACTAACAACACACACACTCCCCGATGCGGGCTTTCCACCCAAACTCACTCTTTTCCCATATCAGGTGGTTGTGCACAGCCACATCCCTAGGGGTATACTCGAACTTGTTCAACCCCTAATTGTATAGGGTGCACCACTAAGAACCTGTTTCCTGTAGATCAAGAATATCTAAATTTTGTATTGTCTTTCAGTATTTTTTATAAGAACTTATGTTCTAACTAATATACATTTTTAAGCTGGATTATAAATATTGTTAAAATAAGATTTTGTTGTTCACAATTTTTAATGGTTAAATATTATAAAACAGCCAGAGTTTATATATATTAGACCCTGATAATATATTTTAAAATCCCCAATTAATATGATGATCTTTGAAATACTTTGACTCAGATCAGATCATACGATCAATAGTACCCCTAATATATTGTTATCGGAACCATCAGTACCTGTCATAATAAGTTATGATTTATATTTTTACCTTCGTGCCTACGCATATATTTTCAAACTCATACAAAATAAGCGGGAATGAAAATGAATAAGGCGAATTAGACGGTATCTGGTAGTCAGAATAACGCTGCTCTATTAGTCACTGCTTTCGTTGTCTCTGCGCTTCGTTCGAGAAGTCGAGATCGTTTATTAGTCGCGAGCCAAAAGCTGAGTGCCTCAGTTGAAGCTTAACTTTGCCAGCGAGAAGATGATTCATACGTTCGCACATCTGGGTCTTTTACTGTGTATCCTGGTTTATGTGGCTGCATACCAGGATCAGCAGAGTAAGCATTGTAAACCAGATGGGGGATATGTAAGTTTTTATTATTTTTGGATTAAGTTTATTTATTTTATAATTAAAATACTCTTTTATTAACAGTGCCAGTTGCATACGGATTGCTGTTCGGGAACGTGCAGAACATACAATTTATATTGCATCCCTGCAGTTGACCACTTCGATCCAATTAAAGTGAATAAGATTAATATTTACGATGTGATGAAACCCAAGCCAATTAAAGATCAGGTGCAAATTTATGGTCTACCTGATGAGTCAGACCCACTGGATGATGTTTTTGCTATTGAACCAAAGACAAATTATGCCGCAGAATGCAATCAAATTGGTGAACCAGTAAGTTCACTTCTTTATCCGTTTGACCAACTTTCACTTTCGTTTTCTACTAATTTTCCAGTGCTCTCGGGCAGAAGAATGCTGCAATTTGCGATGCCACACTTATTTGCACAGGTGTGTCACCTAAAAAACTCAAAATAATCAGGAAATACATATGAAAGCCAGCTAATTACCAAAAAAATCCATTAAGGAAAGGTGCAGCCTTCTATATATTAAGTGGAAAAAATTGTATAATTGTATGTCTAATATTGGCAATATTATTTGATTGTTTTTATCTTCATAAGTCTGTGCTGAAATAAAAAAAGGGTGCAAATTTCGTATTATTTTTAAACAAAAACTTAACCAGCTTATGCGATTGGCGGTTTCTCCTAAGCGTTTTAAAAATAGAAAAACAATCCAAAATGGCATAGATGTCGGAAAAACCTTCACTGTCGCTGTAAGCTATTAAATTGATAACGCAAATGTTTAATTTGTGTTGTTCGAAAAAATACCCAACATTTAAATGAACTGATAATTTTAATTACTTCATTATCGAAAGTAAAAAGCCGGAATGGCAAGAAAGCGAAAGCTTAATGCCAGTTGATCGTTAATACTGTTAGTTGGCGAGGAATTAAAGAGTTTTGGATTCAAACTCATGTAGTTTGTGTGATTTTAGTTATCAAAATTCCTGGGGTTATATCGGAGAAAATTAAAAAAAAATGGAAGACACTTAAAGATGACCTTAGCCTACTGAAATCAATAACAAAATAAATCAAAAGCCCCACCCTAGGAATTGTTCGACTTCAAAAATATTGTGATACTGGTATCTGGTATCGTTTTCGATGCGTTGACATTAAATATTGACTGGGCAAAATTATCTCGAGCGCTTTGACACAAATGTAACCCGACCTCTTGACTTGGGCAAACAGAGTAGCCCGTCGAACAAGCCCGTAGAGTTGCAATTAATTATGGCCGCTGGGTCGGCAAGCCAATAATTGAGGAGTTTAAAAGCCAAGTTCGGACCAACGTCGGTCGTTAGTTCACTTTGTGTTAGAAACCGCTTTAAAGTCATAATGTGGGCCATTCTGTTGGTTCTCCTAGTGTTTGCTGTAAGAAAAATGAAACATATATTGAAAAATAAAAAGTGGTCTATTGTATTAAGCAATAAACATACAATGAGTATGAAAAACCAATTATAAAAGAATTCATGGAAATTAACAATTCAATTAGAATTTAATATTTTTTAAATTTTGTTTACACCTTGCTTAAATATAACTGAAACATGTTTTACTTACCTATTTAGTCCCAAATTCAAGCAATGCCCGCTGGCAAGGACTCGTCTCTGAAGGATGCCAAATTGCCATTGATTTCGAAGCCACCGTTGCAGCAGCCACCGAACCCTCTCAACCAGGATGAGGTTACCATGTTCACCAACATGTTTCTTAGCCTGTTCCGTGGAGTGGCCGACTACAGAAACATGGTAGCCGCCGATACAGTCCAGAGTGTTTGGCAGAGTCCGCCAGTTGTTGACTTCAGCCACCGTCTCTTTGCCACCTAGAAATATTGTTATTTAATCCGAAACTGTTTTTTGCTAAACAAACTGTAATTACATTGCCGATAAAAGTAATCTGTTTTATATTTTTCCTGAGAGCGGTATAAAAAAGTTATTCTCGTGGAAGAGGCTTCAGTTAGGAAATCAACATGAAGCTTTGTGCAGCTATCGTTATTGTCATCCGGATATTATTGGGAATGGCCATCGCTTTACCCACTCTTCAGATCGAACCTAGACACATACCATATGGCTTGGATGAATTTCGGCCATTCCTTGTTAGAAATTCCACCGATGTGCTGCCTTTGTCAAAAAATTTGACCCAAGTAATTAGCTAAAATGCGTTGGATTCATATTCTTTGTTGGCTAATAGAGTACTTTTTCCGACAGATACAACGACTTCGATGGGCCGATAAATGTGTGCAGTTTAGGAATAAATGCACAATGGCAGAGCATTGTTGCAGTCTAAAATGCTTGAAACGTATTTATCGCTGCATTACCTAGATAAGGTTCAAATGATTATAAAATAAATAAAAATAAAATGGAACTACCTAATACCTAAAATAAAACAAAGACACAGACTCTACTCCTTTGTTGTATTAAAAATAAATCTTTAAATTTGTTCGTTAGAAAATATCTTCAGAAATAATTGGCAATTCATTACCTTATAGTTTATCCCTAAAAGTATTCATCAATAACTAGTGTACGCTTATTTATTTTGTAAAACGTTTTAAGTATTTTTTTCGGCAGACATTTAACGAGCTCTTTTCCGTTCTCTTATACACACGACTTCCTATAATAAACCGTAACAAATAATAGTTTATAATAAACTAACCATGAACGTCAGTTGGATCTGTACATTCCCAGCATGAAGAGGTTGATCACACTAGGTCTTTTAATCTGTATCCTGATGCTGGGCTGTGTGGCTGATCCTGGAGTGCAGAGTAATGCAACTAGTATCAGTACGAGTACGAGTACTTCCAGGTATTGTCAGCCAAGTGGCGGATATGTAAGTTTGCTTTATAAATAATCTGTATTAGAAACTTTAATCCTTATTTAATTCCCAGTGTCGATTTCATACGGATTGCTGTTTGGGAAAGTGCATGCAAGTGCCCGCAGAATGTCGCTGATGGATTAAATTTACAACTTTTAAAATATTTGCAATGCCTGGAACCTTTTTAGTATTATCTCTTCTACAGCTAATATAACCTCTTAGGTATTCAAATCACTAAAAGTATTTATATAACAATTAGCTTAATAAACAATTCCTAAAAAATAGAGCGTAAAGCGTCTAGATTTAATAAGCTCTTCATCTGTTTATTCATTCAATCGCCTGGTCATAATGAACTTTTGCACATTATCTGACACGCATATTAGTTGCACATATTAGTTACACGTATTAGTAGTACATATTAATTGAGATAGAAAAGCAAAAATCTCCAGTTGAACTTGAATATTGGCAGCGTAAAAATGCTGATCGTCCGATTTGGAATTTTGTTGAGTATCCTCGGCCTTGTGGCTGCGAACTGTCAACGAAATGGAGAAACTGTATGTTTGCAATATTTTCATTGGAAATAACATTAATTATACTTTAAATCCTAGTGTCATATGCATACGGATTGTTGCTCAGGACAGTGCCTAACATACCTATCCCATTGTGCAGCTTGTCCAAATTGCCATTTGCCTATGCAACTGGGATAAGCCCCACAAACATGCTCGATCACAATTAAACAAGATGTATATTAAACAGTTAATAAAATTATTGAATTATCCTGCTAAATGTTTCATCTTATAAAGGCATCTAAAAGTATGCAGTGAAAAAAACGAGGATTATTCAGTACAATTCTGGAATACAAAATTAATGTTGCATACTTTATTTTCGTAATTTATTTGCTAATTTATTTCACTCTCGGATTAACCGCTTTATGTTTACTTCTTAAAATTTTTCCGCTCTTTATTACTCGCTTTTCAAAAGACGATCAATGATCAGTGCAACCTGCACCGTTCCATTAACTTTTGATGTAATTACTAAATAAAGTAGGTACTCTGTAAAACAAAAGTTTTGCAAAATTTTCTGTATGAATCATTTAAAGTAAGTATGTATTGTTAAATCGACAATGCCTTAAAAAACTGCAGGCTAGTTTATTTACAGAATTATTATCATCTGCTTATTCATCCTCCTGGCGGGTGATAATAACTGTTGAGGTATTCACTGGCACACATTTCATACATAAGCCCCGATATAAAAGCCGAAAGCTACAGTTGAATTTTAATTTCAGAAGAGTGAAGATGTTTATCGCCCGACTTGGACTTTTGTTATGCATCCTGGGGTCTGTGGCGGCCCTTTGTCACCCTAATTGGGAAAATGTAAGTTTTTAACAAAAAGGATTATAAGCTGGCTAATAAAAAGCGTATTTAATTGTCAGTGTAAGGACAATGGGGCTTGCTGTTCGGGAGAATGCTCGCCTAGGTTGCATCAGTGCCAGCCTAAGTCGGGAGCGCTATGGTAAATACTTGCAGTTTATATTGGACTACAAATTTGAGCTTGTAACCTTTTTCTGAGTGCTTACCTAATTAAAATTGTGAACTTATTTTGGATTAAAGATCTTAAATATCTTTATTTATAATGGTGAATTGAACTTATTTTTTTGTATTTTGGGAACTAGTTACCTTTTTATATTTTTCGTATTATTTTGAAATTTATAATATTTATTTATTTAAAGACATTCGGTTCATATGACACACACTTTTTAATTTACACTTGTTATATAAGGATTTCTGCTCCAGACAGAGCCTGACCCACCTATTGTGCCCCCAGCAGGGGCAACCGTGGTAATTACTTGCTGTTTGTATTGAACCCAGTGCTCCATCTTCTCATCCTTCCCGCTCAGCCTCCTCATCTGTTTAGTCAATCACTCGACTGGCAATAATAAAGCTGAGCCGTATCAACTGACAGAGTGAAGTGAAGTGTTTGGCTGCTCACAATCAACTTACATCTGCTGGTGTTTGTCAGCGTTTACCAGCAAACAATATTTCCGCCCACAAACAACAAGACATTCGAGCATTGAGCATTGAGCAGACAATGCGACAAAGCGGCATCAATGTGAATTTTTCCACTCATAGACATTTGCATTGACACACGATTGGGGAAATGGGGAAAATGGGAGAAGGGAGAAGGGTAAAAGGGGAAACCCCCGTCCGTCGTTTTTGTGCGAGTGTCTCCAAGTGATCCTTTCCCCTTTCAGCGCACACAAAGCGCACACAATGAGTTTAGACAGCGATTGTTTGGCTTTCTTGGCGTGTGTGTTAGCCGCTTCCTTTGTTGTTGTCACGCCCCGACTTTCTCGGCACACGAGTGCTGCAGTTGGATCAACAATGGCCGAAAAGACCCATTAAAATATGGCCGACTGGCACTTGAATTTTGCTTTTTATGACCGCCCGCCCCGAAAGTATGCCACATAAAACTGCAGCATAGGTGACCCTTTTTCACGCGTCTTTAAACGCCCATTAACCGCAATCTAAGGATTTTATGTGTCTCCCCCTCCGAAAATGCAAAAATTGATTCTTTTTGCCAAGTTATTGTCTAGTTTGTTGGCGCACGTGCCAAAGCCGCTAGGATTTACATGGAAATCGCATACATAGTTGAGTGTTTCTGGCTGCATCGAATATTCCGGGTATACCGGGAATTTCTCTCGCTATTCGCTTTGCATTTGAAATTCCTTGTTCGATTTGTTTTGCCAACATGCGGTTATTATTTGGCACTTACTGGCTCTGCCGTCTGGCTTCTGGTTTCTTCTACCCCACCAACAGCGCAAAGGAAGACATCAAAAACTGCGGAACCGGAAGGTATTCCAGGCATGCAGCCCCCAAAAGGGGAGTGATGCTCCCACACCCCCTTCTACAGCGATAAGAGATGGTAGCTTGATGAAGTTTTGGCGGCAATGCCTGGCAGGAAATCACTTTCGGCACCACCTAACCTGTACCACCCAAAAAAAGCAATGTAAGATGAAAATCGATTGCTTTTGGCCATCAGCGAATTCCATATGCAGATCCATCGACCTAAAAGTATGCAGGGCCAATTTGTCATCTGTTTTTCATTGCAAACGTCTTTAAGAGCGAGTTTCTTTAATAGCTTATGCCATCGAATTGCATAATGTATGCAGGTGTGTTAAACTTTTACCATGCACGTGTCGGCAGACACTTAAATGTCGAATGAATAATTCCGCCTGCCACCGTCAGTCGGCAAACTTTTATTGCTCTTGGCAGTCGGTGAGTGCTAAGAAAAACACGGAACAGGTGCCGCAGCATTGCCGAATAACTTAAAGCAATTCGCTTTCTGCCAGCTGCTTAATTGGAGTTCACAGCAAACTAAATGATGCCCAAATCCGTCTTACCGGAAGTTATTTGCGGAGAGTGCATTGCACTGCTTCTTCGTGGAAGCGTGGAAAGGAGAACGTGGCGTATACGTGATGCGGACAGTGGCCAACTGACTAGCTAAACAGGCAGGACGACTTATCAGTAACGACCTTTCTGTGGGCTTTCAGACACACATAAATACCTACTCACCGAGAGTGGAAGGTTTATCAAAACGAAATATAAAATATTCAAAAAGTTATCTATCCAGGTCGAAAACTAAACGCTCTTATTTTGAGTATTTAAAGAGAAATGATTATAATTATAACTTTAAATTATTTTAAAATATTAAAGATTTAAAGAATGTAAAATGTAAACTAGCTTTTAAATCAACGAAAAACAAATATTAAATCCAAAATAAAAATGTGTAAAATCTTTTGGGTTAATCACGAAACATTTTGAAATAATTACAGCAAAAACAATAATAAATGTCCGAATATTATAAAAAAATATATAAAATGCCTTTTCTCGCAAATGACATCATCAAGCGGCTTGACTTTTCCACTTTAGGGAAGTATTTACAGCTTGAAAAGGATTTCTTTTTCGTAGGCATCACATATGTTTATATTTGCATTTGTGGCTGAGGCTGAGGCACAAAAACAGGGATTTCCAACGGCGACGGAGTGGCTCTGTGAGTCTGTTTCATGGCAGGGGCCATGAAATTGATTTTAAATGCGGCGTGCGGCTGGAGGAGAGGAAGATAAAGAGAGGACGGGAGACTGGGTGTCAAAGGACAGGGCAAACAGTCGGTGGCGATGATGATGGGCCACCGGTGTCGTTGTCCTCGGATGAAACCGCACGTATGACAAGTCGTTAGTGCCGACTTAACTGGCAAAAGGAAAAGCCACACGAGCAGCAGCGGCAGCAGCAGCAGCAAATCAAAGCGAGTGTCCATCAACATTACAGAATCCGCAGACTGGGCGGGAAAATGGAAAAGCGGAAAAGTGTCAACGCTTGTCAAGCTTTGGCCATGACCAAACGGAGCCTGTTTGTGAGCAGCGGGCAAAACTCATTATATTTCTGCTTGCCGCTCGGTTTTTTCTCGTTCATTTCTTTTTATATTTTTTATTTTTATTTTCCAATTGAAAGCGCCGGCCCTTTAATGTTTGTTTCAGTTTCAGTTGCTGTTGCTTTTACTCTTTTAATCGCACACGCATATTTAAAAAAAAAGATGTATAAAGCAGAGTGTGCTACTGTCAGGCGAACGCTTTGATGTGTCAAGCGTTCGATATGGAGGCGGGGAGCAGAAACCATAAACTCGGCACGAAATTAATAACAGAGGATGCGAAATTTGCATTCAAAGGCGGACACTGACAATGTAATCGGAGTATCCTCCCGGGAGACCGGACCCCCTGGCTTTAACGCGACCTTTGCTCGACTTTAGGGGGCAGGTCAGAGGTGTACAGTTTACGCCCCTTGGCCAAATTTGCATTTATCGACAGGAGGTGCACGAGATGGTGGAGTCTCATTAAAATGTAATTGCCCATTAAAAGAGCGAGCAGGCAGGCTGCCTGACTCCCTGATTTGCCCACTTTGCTGTTTTTCGAGTATCGGGTTTTTTTGTGCGGCGTCTCTTTGTTTCGAGTTGTTTGCCGTTAATTGAATCGGCGAAATGACAAGCAAAACGATTCCTTTTGTATGCCCACGGGCATCTGGCGATGGCCACTTGGGCACTCGTTACGCATACGCTCCGTGGGCCACACAAAACATGCCCCGTGGCAGTGACCGCACATCGGAACAAAGCAGCCACTCACAGGGGCAACATGGAGAGAAATACCCCGAAAATGGTCACCAGCTCGTATTTAGTTCCTTATCGAAATAACTGCTAAACGAAGGAAGTCGTTCAAAAAAAATATATGAGACAAGAAATGGTTAAAGGTCGGGAAAAAGAAATTATTTTAAAAATAGCTTTTATTTATTTGTTGCTTGAATGTTAGTAAACTCAAAAGCGTAAGTGTTTAATTTTGAATTAAGAATTATAGTAAATAATTATATTTATAAATAATTACAAACTTTTTATATGCCAATAATGAGTTTACCACCTTTCTCTGTGCACCCACACACGTGCTTCAGTCCATTTAAATCATTATCATCAGCAGTTTCATTATCATCGAGAAGTTTGCCGCTCACCGTCAACCTTTTTTTTTGCTGTTTTACCTATTCTAGTTTTGTGTTTTTGCCTTCTGGGAGTCGGCAAGGCTTGACCCCACAAGCAAAACAAAAAATGCAAAACACAAGTTTCCTTTTTAGTAGCAGTCTCGTTTTTCCATTTTCATTTCACTTCGATGGTCTGATTCGATGTTTGCCGGCTTGACAGTTCGTTTGGCCCACTTTCGGTTGCTAATTGTCCGGAGAATGGCAACTGAA